CAGTAGATAAAGATGAATACACTGATTTGAACCTCCTCCAGGAGTTGTGTCTCTTCTTTTCCGCATTATTTGTTTATTTTTAAAGGGTTCTGTGTCTTTCTCGGTATCCACTTTAAACCAACATACTCATACTTATTAGTTGTTGATACTTGGAGAAATTTTTTTTATCTGTGAGATTATTTACTGGTTGTAAATTTCCATGTTGTAAGTTAATATGAAGATGCACATGTTTCCATGTTGTAAGTTAATATGAAGATGCACATGTTTCCATGTTGTAAGTTAATATGAAGATGCACATGTTTCCATGTTGTAAGTTAATATGAAGATGCACATGTTTCCATGTTGTAAGTTAATATGAAGATGCACATGTTTCCATGTTCTAAGTTAATATGAAGATGCACATGTTTCCATGTTCTAAGTTAATATGAAGATGCACATGTTTCCATGTTGTAAGTTAATATGAAGATGCACATGTTTCCATGTTCTAAGTTAATATGAAGATGCACATGTTTCCATGTTCTAAGTTAATATGAAGATGCACATGTTTCCATGTTGTAAGTTAATATGAAGATGCACATGTTTCCATGTTGTAAGTTAATATGAAGATGCACATGTTTCCATGTTGTAAGTTAATATGAAGATGCACATGTTTCCATGTTGTAAGTTAATATGAAGATGCACATGTTTCCATGTTGTAAGTTAATATGAAGATGCACATGTTTCCATGTTGTAAGTTAATATGAAGATGCACATGTTTCCATGTTGTAAGTTAATATGAAGATGCACATGTTTCCATGTTGTAAGTTAATATGAAGATGCACATGTTTCCATGTTGTAAGTTAATATGAAGATGCACATGTTTCCATGTTGTAAGTTTTATGAAGATGCACATGATGTTGTAAGTTAATATGATGCACATGTTTCCATGTTCTAAGTTAATATGAAGATGCACATGTTTCCATGTTCTAAGTTAATATGAAGATGCACATGTTTCCATGTTGTAAGTTAATATGAAGATGCACATGTTTCCATGTTGTAAGTTAATATGAAGATGCACATGTTTCCATGTTGTAAGTTAATATGAAGATGCACATGTTTCCATGTTGTAAGTTAATATGAAGATGCACATGTTTCCATGTTGTAAGTTAATATGAAGATGCACATGTTTCCATGTTGTAAGTTAATATGAAGATGCACATGTTTCCATGTTGTAAGTTAATATGAAGATGCACATGTTTCCATGTTGTAAGTTAATATGAAGATGCACATGTTTCCATGTTGTAAGTTAATATGAAGATGCACATGTTTCCATGTTGTAAGTTAATATGAAGATGCACATGTTTCCATGTTGTAAGTTTATATGAAGATGCACATGTTTCCATGTTGTAAGTTAATATGAAGATGCACATGTTTCCATGTTGTAAGTTAATATGAAGATGCACATGTTTCCATGTTGTAAGTTAATATGAAGATGCACATGTTTCCATGTTGTAAGTTAATATGAAGATGCACATGTTTCCATGTTGTAAGTTAATATGAAGATGCACATGTTTCCATGTTCTAAGTTAATATGAAGATGCACATGTTTCCATGTTGTAAGTTAATATGAAGATGCACATGTTTCCATGTTGTAAGTTAATATAAGATGCACATGTTTCCATGTTGTAAGTTAATATGTAAGATGCACATGTTTCCATGTTGTTAATATGAAGATGCACATGTTTCCATGTTGTAAGTTAATATGAAGATGCACATGTTTCCATGTTCTAAGTTAATATGAAGATGCACATGTTTCCATGTTCTAAGTTAATATGAAGATGCACATGTTTCCATGTTGTAAGTTAATATGAAGATGCACATGTTTCCATGTTGTAAGTTAATATGAAGATGCACATGTTTCCATGTAGTAAGTTAAGAAGAATATGCACAAGTATCCATGTTGTAAGTAAATATGAAGATGCACATGTTTCCATGTAAGTTAATATGAAGATGCACATGTTTCCATAAGTTAATATGAAGATCCATGTTGTAAGTTAATATGAAGATGCACATGTTTCCATGTTGTAAGATAATATGAAGATGCACATGTTTCCATGTTCTAAGTTAATATGAAGATGCACATGTTTCCATGTTGTAAGTTAATATGAAGATGCACATGTTTCCATGTTGTAAGTTAATATGAAGATGCACATGTTTCCATGTTGTAAGTTAATATGAAGATGCACATGTTTCCATGTTGTAAGTTAATATGAAGATGCACATGTTTCCATGTTGTAAGTTAATATGAAGATGCACATGTTTCCATGTTGTAAGTTAATATGAAGATGCACATGTTTCCATGTTGTAAGTTAATATGAAGATGCACATGTTTCCACATGTTTCCATGTTGTAAGTTAATATGAAGATGCACATGTTTCCATGTTGTAAGTTAATATGAAGATGCACATGTTTCCATGTTGTAAGTTAATATGAAGATGCACATGTTTCCATGTTGTAAGTTAATATGAAGATGCACACATGTTGTAAGCATGTTGTAAGTTAATATGAAACTAAGTTAATATGAAGATGCACATGTTTCCATGTTGTAAGTTAATATGAAGATGCACATGTTTCCATGTTGTAAGTTAATATGAAGATGCACATGTTTTCTACAGCTGAAACTCTGTACGGACCCATGCACAGCCAACAAGGAGTAGATCAGTACCTGAATGCTGTCTCAGAGGCCAAGGAACAAGGTGGCACAGTGGTATATGGTGGAAAGGTATCATATATTTTCTATACTTTTGTCATGTATGGTATATGAAGAAAAATCATCTTCAATGAGATTGAAAAAGTTGCTGGAAAAGCCTTTAGAGCTATTCTAGTAAAAAGTGTATTTGACCCTAGGACTACAAAATAAATCACTTTGACACCGGGTTTGGTTCCCTGTCTATTGCCTTGAAGGAAATTATCAATTAAATTCTGTGGATGGTACTTTTAAACAAAAACCAGAGTCCTGTGGTGGGGAAAATGTTAAATGGGAGTAGCTCTTATACAATTTACCTAGAAACCTATGAAATTACAGCCAATTCTCACTAACCCCTTACTTAGTGTCTTTATGTAAAAAAAATTCTGATGAATTTTGCTGTTAACTCTTTGCTTTTGCATCAGGTGATGGATCTCCCTGGACACTATGTTGAACCGACGATAGTGACTGGCCTGGCCCATGATGCTCCTATTGTCCACAAGGAAACATTTGCTCCTGTGGTTTATGTGATTAAGTTCTCTGTAAGTATCTTCAAGATAAGAAGACATCAAAAGACAGCTTAGTGACAATCGTAAACCACTTATTTTGTACTTGTTATTATGAAAAAATATTGAGTTGAAAAATAAGGCTCTTTTAATGGTCCTGTCCCCATTAAAATGGAAAATACCCTTGTCTTTACTTTACGGTAAGGCAAGGAAATCTTACACAAGTAAAACCAAGAATTCGCCAGTCTAGGTAAAGAGAATGCTGTGTCTCTGTGGGGACATATGGGAAAAGACTAGTTCTTATCACTTAATGCATTAATAAGATGTGATGTTGATAAAAGTATGTTGTAATTACAGAACCTGGACGATGCGATGAAATGGAACAACGAAGTTAAACAAGGTCTTACTAGCAGTCTCTTCACCAAAGATCTCACCAATGTCTTCAAATGGATAGGGTAGGTCAGATAGAATGGGTAGGTCAATAAATGGAGAGGGTAGATGAAGGATAGGTCAAGAAGGAGAGGGGAAGATTAAGGCTAGGTCAGATAGATAGGGCAGGCAAATGCTTATATCGATTACAAATTTTTCAATCTTAACATTTTGCTCCATTTTAAAAAAGAGAGGTGTCCTTTGTATGCTTAACAAATAGTTCCATTGGTTGTCTCCTGTTTCTAACCTCTATTCCTCATTTTTTTACTAGTAAGGTCAAGACAACTCTGGTAAACATTGTCTCCTTGTAAGAGTAATAACTTAGAGTGCCGTGATGCTGTGTCCAGATAATTACATTTCTTTAGATGGTAGTTGGTCTGTGAGTGTGGCCCAGTCATTTATAGGCACCATCTCTGTATGATCTTGTCTGTTCTAAGGAAATTGAATCAAACCAAAGTCAACTACTTTCATCAAGTAATTATAAAGATGATCATATTTTGCTTTCAGACCAAAAGGATCAGACTGTGGTATTGTGAATGTCAACATTCCTACAAGTGGTGCAGAAATTGGGGGAGCTTTTGGTAAGTCAATGTTTGATGTAACTCTGTGTTCTATATCCTGTACTTTGGGATGAAAAATGCAGATTATGAAATTAAGCTACATTTTATTTTCATTGATAATTCATAATGAATTCTATACAATACTGATTTGTTTTAGGTGGTGAGAAGCACACTGGAGGCGGGCGCGAGTCTGGTAGTGATGCTTGGAAACAGTACATGAGGCGATCCACATGGTATGTATACTGTAACAAGGTAGTTGCTGAAACACAATGAAGTTTGCACACAGAATAGAGGTGAAGGAACAAGTTTTACACATGAACCCAGTAGGATCTATATACCATTGAAATATGAACATCACTTTATTCCTGCAAAAGTTTTTTCCATGAAACTTTACATATCCAGAGTGATGTGCCCTTGTTTTATCTATTTGGAATTGGTGAGTAACAAGATGTCTTCTTCTTTTAACAGCACAATCAACTGTGGAAAAGAGCTGCCTTTAGCCCAGGGTATCAAGTTCGAGTAAAACCAATAAATATTGAAGATGATTACTGCTTCCATTTTCACTAGTCAAAAAAATTCAGACGTCCGCATTGTTTACACAGATGCCATCAATTATGTAGACCTATATATTGGATATTATTGATAAAGTGTTGTTTTTAGAATCAGATCGTAAACGGACATTGTATTTGAATTTAAGATTGTAAACAGCTATGATATTGAATTAAAATGGAATAACATTCATTTGGTTAGCAGTTGATCTGATTATAGAAAGTGAATACTCAGCATATCATGCAAACTCTGTCATAATGCGTATCATTTACGGTTGATTGAATCAACCTTTGAACTGTTCAAGTGTGGATTTTGTTTTAGTATCTGATTCACCAATAAATAAATGAACATTTAGAGGAATTATTTATTTCAATACATTTCCCGACTGTACATGCAAGTTCATGAAAAACTGTTGGAAACTGGCATTATTCATTTGTACAAAATAAAGGAAATACACTTTAAGTTTTTTCATTCTTGTTCATTCTTAAAATGATTGTTTTTATGCCCATTGCTGGTACAAAAGATCGAAGTTGAAAGAAACTAAAAACAATCTTCTTTTCATGCCATTTTGTAGTATCCCTGTACACTATTCCAAATGTTGAGATGTTCTAGAATGGTGAGATACATAATGACAGAATATCTTAATTTTGAATACTTTAAAGATGACTACAAAATATATATCCTCTTAAATTTTGAGTTATTGCATTTCCAAACAAAAATTGGAATCATTTGAATCAATTTGTTTTTTTTTCCACCTATCTTATGAAGTTTTCCAATTTTCTATCTTGGTAAACACTAATTGTACACTATGTCCATGGTTGTAAACGTAGCAAACCTGTCACTCAGGCAGTTACGGAGATACCTGTATATCAATGTACTATGTTCATGTTGTACAGATTTGTTCTGAATCTCAAGATGTTGTACTATCACATAATATTTCTTTAAAAAGAAATCAATGAGGATGATCTGCTTTAATTTTAATGTCATGAGCGAGTCTCATGAATGGTTTGAAGAAAATGTCCAGTAACAAAGATATTTTTCTAAATGTAAAGAAGCATACTGGTTTAAAAAATATTGACGCAAGTGCTGTGGTCTTCATTAAGGCTGTGTGATATTAATGTGTGATAAGATGGGTTCTTATTAAAATATTGCATTTTAACATTGTTGTTGTTTTGACTGGAATCTCTTTAAAGGTTATCTGTTCAGAAAAGTCAGGATGACAATGTATCGATTATTGTGCATGGTGTGCCATTTGTAAACTTTTCAGTTCACCTGAGCCAAAGGCTCATGGTGACCTATTGCCATCATGATTTGTCTGTCATGCGTTGTTAACTTTTCACATATTCGACTTCTTCTCAAGAACCACTGAATGGATTTTGACCAAACTTGGCACAAAACCATCCCCATCGGAAGCCACTTCAAGGTTGCAAAGAAAAAGGGTGCGGCCCCAATAGGGGCTGCAGGAGGGGGAAAAAGGGAGTAAAATTAGGTACATCTTTAAAAATCTTCTTCTCATGAACCAACAGTCAGATTAAGTTCCTATTTGATATTTAGGGTCCTTATGGCATGGTCTACAATGTTTGCAAATGAAAAAAAATCAGGTCAAAAACAGTCCCACTAGGGGGCGCTCAAAAATTCAACTTTGACCGATCTCTACCAAATTTGGTAGAAAGCATCCCTTTGTGAAGGACATATAAAATTATGTTGAAAAAAGTGATTATTTCCCCTTTGGGGCCCATAAGTGGTGTAAAAGGGGCCATATGTAAAAACCTTTAAGTGACTTCTTCTCAGGAACCATTGGATTGATTTTGACCAAACTTAGCACAAGCATCCCAATGGGAAGCCGCTTCAAGTTTGCGAAGAAAAAGGGTGTGGCCCCAATAGGGGCTGCAGGAGGGGGAAAAAGGGGGTAAATTAGGTAAATCTTTAAAAATCTTCTCATGAACAAACGGTCAGATTAAATTCATATTTCATATATTAGGGTCCTTATGACAAGGTCTACAAAGTTTGCGAATGAAAAAAAATCGGGTCAAAAACGGCCCCACTAGGGGGCGCTCAAAAGGGTTAAAAAATTCAACTTACACCAATTTCAACCAAATTTGGTAGAAAGCATCCCTTAGTGAAGGACATATGAAATTATGTTGAAAAAAGTGATTATGTCCCCTTTGGGGCCCGTAAGGGGTGTAAAAGGGGCCATATGTAAAAACCTTCTTTAAATGACTTCTTCTCAAGAACCATTGGATGGATTTTGACCAAACTTAGCACAAAGCATCCCCATGGAAAGCCGCTTCAAGTTTGCGAAGAAAAAGGGTGTGGCCCCAATAGGGGGAAAAAGGGGAAACTTGATACGAATGTTCTACATAAGGTCCTGGCAAGTGTTTTAACTTTTTGGGGTGATTCAAAATCCAAGATGGCCACCCTGGCCTCTGTTTGGCTAAGACATTATGGACTTCCTCTCAAGAACCATTGGGTGGGTCATGTTCAAACTTGGTACAGATGTTTTACACATGGTCCTGCACAAGTGATGTTACATTTTTGCAACATTTTAAAATCCCCAGATTATTGACATATATTCCTCAGGTGACCGTTAAGCTCTTGTTACATTTTAGACTTCTTCTCTAAGTTCCAAAGGTTGGATTAAGCTGAAACTCCTGAAATGATGAGGGTGTGGAGGACAGAAGGGAAGTTGACAAAAGAGTTATGTTTTTTAATCCTCCTCTGAATTTCAATATGGTAGATAAGGCAGCTATTTTGTTACATGATTGTAGTTATAGTTTCTCTGATAAATACCTGTTTTGATATTCTTAAGTTCTAGCATTGGGACTGAGCTGCCACCTGCCTGAAATAATCCTGAGAATGTCCTGACAATGTGATGTTATTTTTTGGGTCTGTTCAAAAGTCAAATATGGCTGAAATCTTGAAAAACATGTTAATTTTTCTCAATTTCCCTGCTGCCATTGAGTTGAAATTTTGTGGGAACTTTAAGAAACTGAAATGAAGAGAGTTTTTTGTCTTTGCTGCTGAAATATTCCAAACCATTTTAATTGTTCCTACTACTACTGTTCTTATAACATATATAGGAATTTATAGTCAGATGACTGTTACATCCTTTAATACCTGTGATTATTTTTGTTTTACATTTCGAAGACATATTTTTGTCTATCCAAAATGTGAACAAGAGTATGAGTGTAATTGATGAATGTTGCCCAAAAACTATTTTATTGGACACAAAGTTTTATCAAAATGCAATAATTCTGTAATAAAGGGGTTGCAGGCCCTGAGTTTGGTATACTGCACATTTCCTTAGTATGACAAATGTTTACACCAAGTTTCATGATCCTAGTTTTAATGCAAGCAAAGCTCTCCATACTCATGACACAAAATTTTAACAAAGGGCAATAACTCTGTAACGGAGGGGTCATGGACCTTGCTATTGTATGACTGCATGATGTATATATAATGTTTCAATATCCTAGTTTATCTAAATATATGCAAAGAAATGCCCCAGACACACAATTTTAATGATTAAGGAGTTGCGGGCCCTAACATTAGGTCACTGCACGTTGTGTTGGTATGATCCATGTATACACATTTCAACATCCTAGCTGAAAATGCGAGCAAAGTTATAATCTGCACAAGATATTTTCAATGAAAGGCAATAATTCTGTAATTGAGGGGTCAATGGCCCTGAATTCAGCACACAGCACATTGTCTTCGTATAACCAATATATACACCAAGTTTCATGATCCTTGTGAATTGTGATCAAAGTTATGTTCAGACAAAAAAATTTTAACAAAGGATAACAACTCTGTAATTTAGAGATTGAGGGCCCTGACATGAAAGATTAACAAAGGCCATTTACTCAGTAATTCAGGGGTAAAGGGCCATGAATTCAGTACACAGCACAATAGTATAGCCAATGTGTACAACTTTCATGATCCTTGCTTAACTGTGGGTAAAGTTTTGCTCTGAACATGAAAGGATGGACTGTCCATCCATGTTTACTTAGCTAGAAAATTGCCAGGACCAGAACCCCTCCCCCCTCAATTACATATCAGTATAATTATTTGAGACTGTTGTCATATTTGACCTTTGATGTTTTTATCCCTGAGTTATGACCACCATAAGGTGTAGATGTTATGATACAAAAGGTATGGTACTATTGACCCAAATCTCAAGATATGACATTTATTTGGAATGGGGTGGAATGGACATAGGTAACGGTCAACATACATGTAAATGTCAAAATCCATCCAAGTCATTTGATGGCATTTCCATTTTTTCAATCAGTACCAACATTAAAAAATTACAAATAGGGACCAAGGCAAACTAACACACATGTACACATTGGAGAATTTTTCATTTAGTACTTCTCAAAGAGTGACGTACATAACGTATGTTTTGTTACAGCTCATTCTGTATCTTACAACATATTTGTTTGTGCCTCTAACCTACCCATACTTCATGTATCTATTGATTGGTCAGTTCTGTAGTTGCAGCATGGTTTCTTCCATTACTAGTCAGTGTTTATAGGTTTTCATTGTTTGTGTGTAATTTTGGGCACAGTTATCAACAGCAAAAATTAACACTGGTACCAGAGCATAACAGACCTCTGTCAAGTTCGAATTACTTAATTTACTCAAGAAGTGGATGTTTCGCCTGCCCAGCAAGGTTTCTGGAAAGTTTTATGAAACAATAGCCATAGATATTCATTGTATTTATTCTATTGATATAATTTGTCCATTTGTTTGAGATATGATGAGTATCCTAGCAGATTAGATGTATAGTGTCAACAGGAACTGAACCCGGAGGATAGATCTGTATATCACAATTACTCGCAGAAATAGAATTTAAAAAATACTGATTTGCTCTAAATATGGCAGGAACAGGGACAACCCACCTGCAAAGCAATCTCAAACAAGCCTCTTTGGTTAAGAAGCATTGTATGAAGTTTGAGTCAAATTGTCAAAAGAAAACTCCAGGTAGCGGAGACTGACATAGCACTACCTATGTCAACACAAAAATCATTGATGAGCCTTTTGAAATTCTAAATTACAACTTCAAAGAAATTTGCCAATCAATTGATCCATATATGCATTGGAGCTAGAGTACCCAAACATGGCCTCATACCTTTTGGTACACAATTGGGTGAAAGGTGAGTGTTGCACCTGACCAACTAATTTCAAGTTAAATAAAATATTACAGTTAATACATTAACAATAAAATTTGAAATAGAGGTTTTGAAAACAGTATTAATTATAAGACTATCAAAATATAAACATTCTCATGCATTTTTGTTGTATTAACACATAACAAATACAAGATTTCTTTTCCAAATTTTTATTCCATAAATAGCAAGAAATCAATAACTGCAAGAATAATAAACTTTTTGTTTCATCATTCACACACATTAAAAGGCTATCAGCACTAATTAGGCAGCCCACATTAACAGTGAGACATCCATGTTAACCATACAAATACAAACACTAACATTATCTGATCAACCTCTTCTGACATCAGCACTAATATTATCTAGGCACCCTGGGTATAGAGCAAACATCCTGACATCCACACTAATATTATCTAGGCACCCTGGGTATGGGGCTAACATCCTGACATCCACACTAACATTATCTAGGCACCTTGGGTATAGGGCTAACATCCTGACATCCACACTAACATTATCTAGGCACCCTGGGTATGGGGCTAACATCCTGACATCCACACTAACATTATCTAGGCACCCTGGGTATGGGGCTAACATCCTGACATCCACACTAACATTATCTAGGCACCCTGGGTATAGGGCTAACATCCTGACATCCACACTAACATTATCTAGGCACCCTGGGTATGGGGCTAACATCCTGACATCCACACTAACATTATCTAGGCAAATCAGTTACAGCAACTACATGAACATGTAGTAGACATTTACTGTAAGGTAAGTACATAGGGTAGACTCGCAGATTTAAAGGCAATAAAATACTGCACATTTATACCAGAAAATTAAAGTCTTTTCTTTCAGTTCAACTTCATATACAGAAAGTCTGTGCTTTCACTGATAACACAGAAATTGGTGCTATGTTTAAGCACAAATATTGAGGGAGAATAGCTCCATTATCATTCATCAAATTTAACTTTGAATATCTGTGATTTACACCCATATTACATTATTTGTTTTTGTCTTTTAGTTTTACTTAATACCAATAAATGTATCCCTGTGCACAAAATATTTAACATTTCTCTACATATAGAGTTGCTATGTATAAATACATATTGTATTGAATAAGTTTGTGTCAAACACTGGAAAACAAGAACGACATAATTTTTATATCTGATGTTTTCGTTACAATTATAATTAATTTTGTCCTGTATAGAAGTAGCTATAGTTCTGACACCAATTCCACAGGTAAATGCACAATCTGCATGCAGTCATTACAAGTACACAATATCTAGTGGTATGTTGTACATATGTAGCACAGGTGACTGAACACAACAAAGTTTCTTCATGTGCTCATGGTTACAAAATAATGACCCAACCTGTGAGAATATTACTACAAAAAGCCCATACTGTTCCTAAAAAGAATTTCCAGAACGTTAATTTGAACTTCCAGACTAGTAAGTACATGTTACTGGTATTCTGGACTATCAGAATCAGAATATCCTGGATTCACTGTATTGACAAAGATATGCCTTGAATCTTTTTGGTGAAGCTATTTCCACCTTGGATCAGTTGAAACTTGTACCCATAGTGACTGATGTATAATCTTATCAGAGAATGAAAGCTTATCATCTCAATTTACCGGACATCTGTTAGGCAGAAATCACACGTCGTCCTCCAAGTGATTTATGTAAATTGTATTTCCAATGTTCATGTTGATTTCATGAAATACAAAATCTCAGGTGTCTTCATGTTGATCTATAAATTCTGTCAAGGTTCCAGAATCTATTGGAATCATAAGATGCTCGATGCCATCAAAACTCTGGAGATAAAAAAAAATTATTTTTACCTTTTACTTTTTACACATAAAACTACTGCACTGCATAATTAGATCAATCTGATATCCACCAAATGAATTCATTGCAGAAAATAGGATCACTGCATAAATTATTTCATCCAATAATATTGAGCAAGAATGGATTCAGAAGATTGGGTATAAACCTGGAGTTTCTCAATATAAAGCTACTTCAGAAAATTAAGTATGATCATCAATATGTAGTGTCGAAATTTCCTTACAGTGGTGTGTGTCGAAATTTCCTTACAGTGGTGTGTGTCGAAATTTCCTTACAGTGGTGTGTGTTGAAATTTCCTTACAGTGGTGTGTGTCGAAATTTCCTTACAGTGGTGTGTGTCGAAATTTCCTTACAGTGGTGTGTGTCGAAATTTCCTTACAGTGGTGTGTGTCGAAATTTCCTTACAGTGGTGTGTGTTGAAATTTCCTTAAAGTGGTGTGTGTTGAAATGTCCTAACAGTGCTGTGTGTTGAAATGTCCAAACAGTGCTGTGTGTTGGAATGTCCTAACAGTGGTGTGTGTTGAAATGTCCTAACAGTGGTGTGTGTTGAAATGTCCTAACAGTGCTGTGTGTTGGAATGTCCTAACAGTGGTGTGTGTTGGAATGTCCTAACAGTGGTGTGTGTTGGAATGTCCTAACAGTGGTGTGTGTTGGAATGTCCTAACAGTGGTGTGTGTTGGAATGTCCTAACAGTGCTGTGTGTTGAAATGTCCTAACTGTGGTGTGTGTTGGAATGTCCTAACAGTACATTATATTGAAATTACAGTGGTTTGTGTTTAAATGCCCCCACAATCGATGTACGGAGTTTAAATGTCCCAACAGTACAATGTACAGTGCATTGTGTTGACATGAAATTCAACCTTATACCATCATGAACATGTATACAACTTGCCTTTTTAGATTTGATGAGTTTATGATCCCTGAACTCGATGAGCTGAGCCTGTAGGGTGAGATCACTATTAACAAGGAAGGCCTCTCGACATTGCTGGTACAGGTCCTGTATAGACAGACCTGTTGGAGGAGAATGTCACAGGGAGGTAAAAGTCCAGTAACTATTACAATGAATTCAGGTTAACATCAAAACACATCGACAGCCAAGATCATATTATCAAGTAGTAATTGCATAAACATTTTATGATTGGAAATCTTTAATTCATTTTCAGATAGATGGTAATTATGAATATCAACCTCGGGTATATACTGACCCATATATGTGCTGTTGTCTTTGTTGGAGAGCTGATGTTTTGCCAAGAGAAAGAAGATGCTTTTGGCATTAGATGTGAGAGATTTCATCACATGGGTCATAGAGCTGAGGGCAAGACCACCAGATTGTTGTACAAGGAGAGAATTTTCATAGGATGTTTCATCAGTGTATGGTAGATATGTTGTCACATCGTACCAGAGCCAGTTGTAACGACAACACTTCCCCTGATCCCACACTGAAGAGAAAAGTTCAGATAGTTATCAACATACTCTAAACTGACAAAAACAGCATTCTTCAACAATATAGAAATCACGACTCATTATTTTCAACTTCAGATTAAAGTTGGATATCAAGATAGCATATTTCAGTTGTACCTGGAAATAATGCCTCAAAAAGAAGTGAAATTTGTAAGTGATATTCATGAATGAGTTTCCTGTCTATTTAGTTCAATACAAACTAGTAAAATTGAATTAAATATATGGGTTGTAGTAATAAACAAAACAGTCCTATAAAGTAGGATAAACATATTTAATGTTTTTTATACTGATTGATATGAGTCTTGATAGTACCTGTTATTTCCAAAAGAGATTATTAAGACCCCTTGGCAACAATGGTATTCAACTACTGCTCTTCACTTATATATCAAAATAATGGCATTCCTTGCATTCGAAAATTAAGTGACTTGACTTGTAAATAGAATTATTGATATCAACTAAGAGTACACAGAATTTTGCATTCTGAAAATCAACATCTGGCATACTCACTATTATTGTAAGTGCCGAAGTCTGCCCTACTTAAATTATAACAAGTAAGATTTCAATATTATAGTGGTCGGACACAGAGACGGAAATAAGATTTGAATATCATAGTGGTCGGACAGACAGAAATAAAATTTCAATAATACAGCGGTTGGACAGATGGAAATAAAATTTCAATATAACAGTGGCTGGACAGAGGGAAATAAGATTTCAATATAACAGTGGCTGGACAGAGGGAAATAAGATTTCAATATAACAGTGGTTGGACAGACAGAAATAAGATTTCAATATTACAGTGGTTGGACAGACAGAAATAAGATTTCAATATAACAGTGGTTGGACAGACAGAAATAAGATTTCAATATTACAGTGGTTGGACAGACAGAAATAAGATTTCAACATTACAGTGGCTGGACAGACAGAAATAAAATTTCAATATTACAGTGGTCAGACAGACAGAAATAAAATTTCAATATTACTGTGGTTGGACACTAAGAAGGAACATAGCATTGGTAGGAAGATCAACAGATGACTTGTACACTAATACTTACACAACGGAGCATTGATATGATCTATGGAAGCTAGAATGTGAAAACCAGGAATCTGACTTAAAAGACTCAAGATGTTTTGAGTCTTCTCTCCTCGTAACATAGTACCATCAATATTATGTACTATGAGGAAGAAGTCTTGAAAACCTGAAAATCAGAAGAGCATTGATCATACACCCAGGCATATAATATTTGGAAATAGTTTTTCAGTACAGTGGAAATTACTAAATACAATGTTCCATTTGTCAGAGAAAAATAGGAAACGGAACATGACAGTTGACACACTTTTTCAGATGTCAAAAACCAAACATTAACTTTCTGATATGCCACACTGACGAGTAATTTATAATTCACCTTGTTTTTCCCATAAGTACAGTGATTTTCCTTAACTTTCATTTATTTATTCTTTGACATAGCTAACCTACTATTATAAATTATTGTGAAGGATCATGTCATGTTCAGTATACACATGATCACATTCGTATGTCACACTATGGTCTCTTTAGCTGATATTTTGCCACATGAACAGCTCATATTTGATACACCATATTCATTGGCTATTTAGTGGTTATTTTCAATGGTCAATCAGAGGTTGTGAAACACGACAAAGGGAAAACTCAGTTGATGGTCACTTTACCAGTGCTCATGGTAATTAAAGCAATACATGCTTAAGAGAAAGATAAAAACTGCAAATTCTGATAAGACCAAATGGATTTTCAATCTTTCTTCCATATCATGTTTTATATGCCCTGAACAAAATTTTGGAAAAGATGATTACAATATCAGCAAAGACATAAGCAGCCTCTTCAACTTTTAGGGGTATGACTGATAATTTTCTATTAATCTATACTTCATTTCATGAAACTTGAAGTTCAAATCAGTTATTTTAGCATTTTAATCTTTGTATGGGAAATGTTTCACACCAATTTCAAGATTTACAATGACAACCCGCGATTTTGCATCCTATGAGTCATTGAAACTAGAAACAAACACCATTCAACGACAGTTCATGTTTGATTATTTTCTCATATCATTTGACAAACAATCTTTATTGTTATTGAAATTGAACCCAGTATCCATACAAAAGACTTCTTTTCAGGAAATTTCAGCAGCACATCAGAAATCTTAAGTCACATGGGCCCACTCACACATGGCCTAACCATTGTGGCATGTAATGCGTGGATTGTACTAATCAATTAAAAATCCAAAAGTATCAGAATTGCTTGACCTAACTGGACCTTACAGGTCATGAAGTATCAAATATGAAGCATTGTTTACATGAAAATAAGTGACAATATCACAAATGAGATTACATGGAATAGTGAAAAAATCTGTGTTTCAAAAAAAATGTCATTAACCAGAAAGTGATATAACCAAAATGAAATTAAGTTGTTTCCACTGTACTTTCAAAGATAAACTCTCTTTTGTTACGTCAGCTACTTAACAAGTACCTGCTGTATGTGAGAAGTAAATACCTTGTTGTTCCATTTCTTTTCGTATACAAGCAACTTGATCCAATGGGCCTTTAAAACTGCCATCATAATCCAGTATCTCATAAGTAATGGAATTCAAAATCTGGAAAAAGGAAAAATCTATCGTTATCATGACATAACAAGGACATTGAGAGATTCTAAATCACAAATTTACAGGCAAGAATCTCCATTACTACATACTTTTATGAATAAATGGAGACATATCATAGAAGTAATTTCACACTAAATATATTTCATAGCTAAATCTATTTCAATTCATTTTTTTCCCCTAAATTGAAAAAAATTCATGAAAATTTTAAAAAATTAAAAATAAAATGAAATTACTTACTATAATAAAAACAGTAATGGGTTCAACGTTGAGTTTTGAACTTGTTTTAAATATCGAGAGCTGAAACAAATAAATACAAGTGTACCAGAACAGGCAACTTACATGTTTTACAGTAAGACTTGGAAAGTAACCATTAACAACCAGGTGGGAAAGATCACACAGATGAGTTTTACGGAAATCTTCCAGGAGCTTTCGTTTTGATCCTAGACCATACAGTAATATATTGAAACCTTGACTGAAATGAAACAGGACAGATATTTGTTTTGATTTTCTGTAGTCTGTAATTATTCCTTATGTCTGAAACAGAACAGAAATCATAACACATGCACATATCAATTTTTAACAATGTATACTATAAACCATAAATCCTTCAACTCAGATAATGCAAATGCAAACAAAACTAAGTTGGATCTTTTCTCTTCTCTTTTTTGCTTTTAATGATAAGACATTTGAACATTCCTTTGCAGGAAATAGCAATTATAATCTTTACCTGCCATATCCAAAATGGCCACCTGGAAGCCATTTTGTTTCTTCTGATCAGTCCCATAATCAAAAAAGCACAAGGAGAGACCAAAGGGAACATATATATGAAATTTGAGAAATATCTGTTCAGTACTTCTTTAAGGAATAGCAACAACAGTCTTTACTACTCAAAATCCGAGATGTCTGCCTCTAGGCCATTTTGTCTTTCTGATCAGTCCTTAACTCGAGTAGGCATATCTAGGGACCTAAAGGAACCTAATCATGAAATTTAAGAAAGAACCATTAAGCACTTCCCAAAAAATAGCAATAACAAACTTTCAAAGTCAAAATCCAAGATGGCTACCTTTCAGCCATTTTGTTTTTTGATCAGTCCCAAAATTACATGAGCACAACTAAAGACCAAGAGGAACCTACAAATAAAATTTGAGAGATATCCATATCTTCCACTTCAAGAAATAGCAACAACAAATCCATTTTAAAAAATCCAAGATGGCTGCCAGTCTGCCATTTTTGTTTTTTTGATCAGTTCTAAAATCAAATGGGCAAAACTAGCGACCATGGGAAACCTACATATGCAATTTGAAAAAGGTCCATCTAGTACTTTTCAAAAAATAGCAATAACAAACATTGTTTATGGATGGATGGACGGACGGACCATAGACATAGAGCAATTTGGATCAGATGGTTGGTTAAAATATCAACTCACTTATCACAAACTGATGTTTTCACAAAAAGAAGTCTTCATTAAGATTGATGTTGGACCCAAAGGTCAAAACTGGTGACCATGATCTTTTGTCACCTGACTTCTTGTTTAAATCTGACCAACCTTGTTTATAATGTAATAGCAAAATATTGTCTGTGAAAAGCTTTAAAAGGAGAAGTGCCAGTTTGGGCCTTCTGTTGGCCATGATGAATACTTTTTATTTTTTATCCGTTATTTGTTAATGGTCTTGTTTCAAACACTATTAACAAGGTATACATCAGGGAGATGTCATGCTGTCATACTATTTTATGTTAAAGCTCTAGTGTCAAACCATCTTATGTTAAAGCTCAAGAATACAACTAATGCACAGAAGAATTATTATACTGTGAAATTTATTTGAAATAATTTTTCATACAGTATAATTCAATATTCATTTTCATTAACCGGAATAAGATAGTGACTGGTGCTCTTGCACTTTAAATTGTAACTAGTCTATTTAAATGGCATGCCTCTCTTACCCTGACTGAAACTTCTTCATTGCTCTAATTCATGCAAAAATATTTCAAATAAATACACTGCATGTGATAAACGTATTGTTTATAGATGCATTAAGACAACTTTGAGTACCAACCAACTTTGCTTCAATAAAACAATTCTTCATTGAAATGATGTAAAATTTGGCCTTGACCTTCGGACATACTGATTTTGAACTTTGATCAGTTGACGTGTTGAATACTGACAAAATATACTTCTTAATGTTATGACAGTAACAAAGTTACAAAATTTGAAATTGAAATTTGACACTGCTTTCTGATCTCAATATGTACTTTTGTGAATTGAACATCTTTACTGTATTTCATGTAAATTGATCAATATATGCTATCACTAATACAGGCCTGTATCAATATACCAATCTTGTGATTACCTTAGCTGAAACATCCATGTAGGAAATTTTTCTTTATGTTCCTGGTACATCTTTTCACTCTCACAGGTGTCTACTGTCGATACCTGTTGTAAAACCTTATTTAGTCCCTCCTGATCCATCTTAGTTGATCCTAATCGAGCCAGCGTCCGGTCTGATGTGTGTACAGCAGAACTTGCATGGATATCAAAGTAGGACTGTACCATAGAAGGCTAGAAAAGAAGAGTCACATGTTATGTACAATATCTAGCTCTCACCACTGTCAAAATCAACGCTTCACACTTAAAACTCAAAGAAGGGTCGCAAAATAAGTACATGAAATAGGTAGGCAATTTCCTTTTATTAATACCCACTATTTCCTCTTCATCTCCACAAGCCCTAGTCCGACCCCTCTTAAGTGTATTTCCTGCAGACTTCACACTGAGTGGTGGCCGCTTAGCACGAGTGGCTCCAGCCTCATCTTCACTGTCATCAGAGGAGGAAATACTGGACTCAGAATCGATGTCATCATCTAGCGATTATAACACCATGAATGCATAAAAGTCTATTATATACATACCATAAAGGTTTGTTTTGGAGATTTAAATTTTCATTGTTTTTACTGAAAGTCTGAAGTAAAGAGGGTATATCTTTTAAAGAAATAATGAAATGGACTTTTATTTTCTCTCTTAATATCAAGTTATATTCATGGTATCTATTTCCACAGTTTCATAGCAAAAATAATGAAAATTGAATACAATAATGACTTTGATAGTAATAATTGGTCAAACACAAACACAAAAACCCTTGAAAAATAACAGTCATGCGACTAGACATTACAATACAAAGAATAAATACATATCAAATTTCCTTAAAGTTTTATGGGTTTTCTTGTGCAATTGCTTTTTTCATACAAAAAGCTTGAGTTTTGAACCTCAAGTTTTTAAAAAATAACTGCTAACTTTTCTCTAATTAAGAATTTTATTGTCACCATGTTGAGTAATAACCTTACCAGTGATATTCCGTTTTCGTAGTTTGTATGGAGTTGTAGTTTCTGGCTTTCTTTGTGATTTGTTGGATCGGCTGGTAGATGATGGAGTCAAAGAACCTACAGTAACCAAGATATGTAACAGAATAAAAACATTCAACTTGTATAGATGCCCACCATTTTTGTCCTTTTTAAATTTTCATAGAAATCTTCTGATGTTTAGTTTTTTTCATATAAAATATTTCATAAAAAGTTTCCTTTGTATTCATGTATGTACATACTTATCTGTATACAGAACTGAAATTATCACAATATATTGTGAAGATAGATTTTTCCTGACCAAAAAGAAATAAAACTCTGTACTCTGATAGTACAGCTTTTGAGATCATACCTTGTGTAACTGTAGCCTTCAGTATAGACTTTGGTGTTCGAGCTTCAGAGGCTGGAAAATGTAACAACTTATCTATCAACATGTCGACATCTCAAAATTCCATTCAATATTAAAGTAAACTGTCAGTTTTTATCCTATATTTTCATGACATGTTAAATTGCCATTTCCCCTAGAAACAATTTTTATCTGTATTTCTACAATAATATTTAACCTAGTTGTCAGATTGAGCTTAACTTAGTCATTATGCTCCTTAGTATGCTAAATAAATTAAGTGATACTATCAAATTCACCAGAAATTGGGGGGTTGCATGGCACTGAAATACTTATATCTTTGGTGGACCTCAGGACAGATGTTTTGGGTGTATGGAACTGAAATCTTTATACATTTGGAAGCCATTTTGCCAAGCCTTTTAGGGGTATAAGGGACTGAAATGTAAGTATGAATTATGGCCGCCATCTGGTCAGAATCTTTTGGATGTGCAGGACTGAAATGTAAAACTTTTGGCAGCCATCTGGCTAGGCGTTTTAAAAGCATGAAAGTAAAATTAACAAACCTTTGGCAGCCATCTGGCCAGTTTTTTTAGGGGTACGAAACTGGAACATTCCACTTCCTGCCATTGACTCCTCACCTTCCAACACTGTAGTTGATACAAGATACACATTCCAAGTAAGAAATTTCTGTACTTCAGCATAAAATAGCTATGGTACGATGACAAATTACTTTTGAATAGCATTTATTACTTATGTTAATTTCCATTGTCGATATTCATAAGTATTCAAAAACTTAACGAACATTATTTTTAAAACATGTTTTACCATCATAGCATTTTTTATCAGTAACTGCCTCTGCCTCTCAAATATGCTCTATGCCATCCATCCTCTTTACCAATGACTGCCTGTGTCTTTTAACCATGCCTCCTCCCATCCAGAAACACTGTCTCTGAGCACACCTCCTCCCATCTTTCCTTTTTACCAATGACAGATTCTGTCTATAAGCATGCCTGCTCCCATCCATCCCTTTTACCAATGACAGATTCTGTCTATAAGCATGCCTGCTCCCATCCATTCTTTTTACAAATGAGAAACACTGTCTCTGAGCATGCCTCCTCCCATCCATCCCTTTTACCAATGACAGACGATGTCTCTGAGCATGCCTTCTCCCATCTATCCCTTTTACCAATGACAGACACCGTCTCTGAGCATACCTCCTCCCATCCATCCCTTTTACCAATGACAAACGCTGTCTCTTAACATGCCTCCTCCCATCCATCCCTTTTACCAATGACAGATTCTGTCTATAAGCATGCCTCCTCCAATCCATCCATTTTACCAATGACAGACGCTGTCTCTAAACATGCCTCCTCCCATCCATTCTTTTTACAAATGAGAAACACTGTCTCTGAGCATACCTCCTCCCATCTTTCCTTTTTACCACTGACAGACACTGCCTCTCAGCATGCCTCCTCCCATCCATCCCTTTTACCAATGACAGATTCTGTCTATAAGCATGCCTGCTCCCATCCATCCCTTTTACCAATGACAGATTCTGTCTATAAGCATGCCTGCTCCCATCCATTCTTTTTACAAATGAGAAACACTGTCTCTGAGCATGCCTCCTCCCATCCATCCCTTTTACCAATGACAGACGCTGTCTCTAAACATGCCTCCTCCCATCCATCCCTTATACCGATGACAGACGCTGTCTCTTAACATGCCTCCTCCCATCCATCCCTTTTACCAATGACAGATTCTGTCTATAAGCATGCCTCCTCCAATCCATCCATTTTACCAATGACAGACGCTGTATCTGAGCATACCTCCTCCCATCCATCCCTTTTACCAATGACAGACGCTGTCTCTAAACATGCCTCCTCCCATCCATCCATTTTACCAATGACAGACGCTGTCTCTAAACATGCCTCCTCCCATCCATCCCTTTTACCAATGGCAGATTCTGTCTATAAGCATGCCTCCTCCCATCCATTCCTCTTACAAATGACAGATGCTGTCTCTCAGCATTCTTCCTCCTATCCATCCTATTTTTCCACTAATTGCCTCTGTCACAAACACCTGCCTAAACTAATTATCAATAAAGATTTTTTGGTTTTCTTGTCTCCAATGATACAAATCCATTATTAAAGTTAAAAGACATTGATGAGTCTGCTACACAGATGATAATATTGGAAATGAATACATAAAGCTTAATCATTCTTGTGGCAGAAGTGAATACAGAAAATCAAACCTACAGGATGGAACACTACAAACAATATCTTCATCACTCTCTTCTGCAATGTCTCCATTGTCCGCCACATCAGCACAATATTTTCTCTGGGCAGGGGTTGAACTAGTTGATTTTCGTCCTAAAATGCACGATAAAAAATCTAATTACTTCTGAGTAAGTGACAGTGAGTTGTGGGATAGCACACACTGAGGAAAACCTTTGTGCACATCATACACACAACCAGACGGTAGACATTATGGTATCATATACAATTCTATGATACAAGCAAACAGGAAACAAAACTGCACCAATCCAAAATTATAATTTACAACAGACAGTATGTTACTATAACTGAAGACCATTTAGAATAGATAAAACACTGTGTACTAATTGGCAATGCTGGGAGTGCATTTCTCATGCACTGTATGCACAAGTACACTTCATTGATTAATTATTGTTAATCAATGAGTTGCTACAGAACAGAAAACTGTCTATCAGAAAACTTTTGCCCTCAGGTTATGTCAAATATTTCATAGTAGGGAATTCTCATTCTTTTGTATTGTTGCAAAGAAGGCTTTAGTATCTGTGTCTGTATTACCTGTGATCACTCAGTCATATTTCATATAAATACTTCAAAACAAAACATTGATGTATTTAGTGTAACAGATGTAGCTATTATACTGTGCTGTATTTCTGCAATTTCAGAAACACTTACAAGTAGATATAAAGCAAAATTTGGTGTCATAAAATATTTGTTACCTCTGGGATAACCAGTTTTGAAAATTCAAAACAAGGTGATCAAACACCATGATGTAGTAGATCATAGAATGATGTTGCACTATGATCAATAGCTCTGTTTTGAATGATGGAGAAAATACAGCTGTTTATGTAGAGTTCCTAGATGTAACAGGATATCAAAGGCTGTTCATTTGGGAATATATATGTCTCATGTACATTCTAAAGTCAAATTTATGAAAATATATTCTCTATTTAAATAAGGTATATGTAAATAAATAAATAAATATTTGTAACTTCAAATTTACATCCCAGACATATTTTGTAAAAAAAGTGGATATACCTGTCATACACCAGACAATTCTAATGTGAAATGTAATGTCACATAGAGTATTGTCTGTGAACATTTCACCATCAAAACGTAAATCTACTGCAGAGTGGAGAGACTCAACGACAACACTAAATTGTGTTTGGTGTCCTGGGTGTATCACGCCACATGATTCTTATCCACTATGTGTTCAACGTAAAACGGTATATTTTGGGTTCTCTTATGTCATATGTGGCTAAAAATCAAACCCATCTGTCACATTTGAGATTAATTCATCCGGACATAATGATGGGCACTAAACCGCATCAAACAATTTAGCAAACCTCGGCTAAAATTGGTCATATTACTGTAAAATATTTTGTATGAGGTCAATTTTCAACTGTCATTTTGCAGTAAAATATGTAAGATATTCAGTTACTTATAATCTTAGATTTGTTCTCAGTAAGTTCTAATATTTCATGCGAATTTTTCCATGGCTGCCTACATAATATTATTCATCTAAAGTCTGGGACATAACATTGGACTTGCATCACCGCCATTTCTGTATAAAGGTGATATGTTGCCATGCATTTTACAGCTGGAAACTAATCTGAAACACTTATCTAAGAATGTCATAAAACATACATGCCAACATAGTTGTGATAAGAGATAAATCACTTATAGTCTCAATGGCCAAGACGAAATATTACAAAGCAATTTACACAAGCGCTAAATGATTTGATTTCTTTAAAACATGTTCTGAGGTTTTCACTATAAATTTCCTATTATCAGGATATCATTCTAAGTGTATATTTGGCATTTAGCATTTATAACATGAAATGTTACGCCCAGGTGCTTATTGTTCAAAATGTTGTAAATGTAAATTAGTGTACATTTCTGAAGAGTTAATGCATTTAGTCAATCTTAATACATTTACCTTGTCTCATAACATTGAACAAAACAATTAGTTTAACATTTATTGTTACTTGTGAAAACACCTCCTCTCGACTAAGAACACCAAAAAATTGGTTGTGTCCATGCCAAATGATAATTAAAATAGAAATTGTGATGTAAATATTTCAAAATATCAAAAAAATGTTTTGGTAGTAATATTCTTCTTTGAGAAACTTTCAGTTGATACAACTGTAGTTCATTTGCAAACAATATTTGAAGATAAATTCAAAAGGAACAGACATTACAATTTTTTATGACGCTGAATTTCTCCTCAGATAAAGAACAGACCTTTCGATTCATGTGTGATATACACATGAATCGAAAGGTAATGTCTGTCCCTTTTGAATATATCTTCAAATATGAAAATGATTTCTCTCCACAATTACCATTGTTTCAAATGAAGAATAAGATATTCACCACATATACATATTGCGGGCTGGTATGACTGGCCCAAACCACATCAAGCTCAGTATGAGATTTATATATATTTCCATTATCCTGTACATGTTTCGTTTCTAAAGGAATATTTCTGTGCCTTCTGAACCATTTCGACTACTTTATGCAACAGCGGCCAAACTTCCAGTGATAGTCATCTGATGCCTCTAACCAAGCACGCCTGTCCATAGATACTTACTTCATATGGCTATTGTGTGTGTGTGTGTGTTTTTTTTTTTTTTTTTTTATATACGTCCCTAGTAATTGCTATTGAAATTGAGTCTTCAAGTACCTGTGCATCTGTCGAGAGGTCTGCAACGGACTTCGTTTCATATTGTTTAATGCCCAACTTGTTTATTGACATATATGCTAATTTATGGACAGTCTTTCATTTACCTGTTCTTTTTTTATCTTCCACGCGAACAATATGTTGAACAACGTCATCGTCTCCCACAAAAGATACAGAGACACATTTTCTACGGGGTCGTCCCGTCGCCATATTTCCCGCGAAATTGTAAACACGTGGAGCTCTTCATCGCGGAAGGTAATAATCTTGCCAGACGGATGCTCCCTTCTCTTCTTTAAGGATAACCTAGATGATCAACAAACTCGTGTTGTAGAGTATTTCAGGTAAATCATGTATGTTAAACGTTTTCATTTCTTGTTGAATTATAGTTTATCGTTAAGAACATTAATGACATGGCATATTGAAAACAATAAGTACAGATCTGGTTTGCAGTTTCATTTTCCATATACAATGTACTACATGCAGAACACTGTCGTTTCAATACCCAGTTGTTTTGATTCGCTGCTTGACAAAAGACATTCAACTTGTCGACCACTTCAAAATGCAGCGAAATGGAAAAAGCTCCTCGGCCAACGACCACTGGTCTTATATTTACATGTGAACATATCCTGGATAACATGGACGTTAATATAATTATCAAAAGAAAATATAAGTGGAGAGTGTAACACTACGGATGAATACACACGATTAAACTAATCATTACCTGTACACTAAATATGTCATATCAAACATGCTGTTAATACATAAATTGGTAGTATACGAGGCACATTCATTACAATTAGTTAGCAACTGTTATGAGAGGGGACTTCGATTATTCATGGCTCAGAGAAAAAATGCTAATGCCAAATTTAGTCCCTCTGTGTTATATGTCCCTGCATTGTTACTACTAGATTTAGCCTTGCTGTCGTAAAAGATACGGGTCAACGATGTAGCTTGTACATCAAAGTGTTCAATATAGTTTTTGTTTGTCAGGTAACAGAGCATGCATCTTTAGCTCAATTGGTAAAGCCATGAATTATCATGCCAGAGATCCAGATTTGATTCCTCTCTGGACTCATCTTTTTTACGATTAATGTGACATTGTGGAAAAATACATTCCTGGCATACCCAATGCCTCAACAGAAATCAAACCAAGGCCTCCAGCGTGATGATTCATAGTTCTTTTATTTGAGCCAATTAGAAGCATGCTCTGTCAGCTGAATAACAGAGGCCGTATTTGACATCATATGCAAGTCTTACAGACCAGTTCCGTTTACACTACTCCCCTATTCTTCTTGATATTTCCTAAATCTCAACTGAATAATCGAAATACTGGATGTCAAAAATTTGATCCTGGTGAAAACCTTTGTTTCCAGTGAGATAATCCATGGCTCTACCAACTGAGCCAAAGATGCATGCTCCATCAGCCGAGGGACAGTGACAGTATATTAATCAGTGTGTACAAGCCATGCCAACCAAAATACAGTTGTATACAACTTTATTCAAATATGCTTTCCATCTGACACATAGAAATTTTGATGATTTTTATCATTTTTATTTATTCATATTACTTATTAGCCTATCATCTGATGATAGTGGGCTATTCAAATCACCCTGTGTCCATGGTCCATCACCTGTCCATCCGTAAACAATTTTTATGATCACTAATTGTTGAGGAGTACCAGTTTGATCTTTCTCAAATTTCCTATATATGTTCCCTTTGGTCCCTCCTTGTGCTTGTTTGATTTTTTGTCTGATCAGAAAAAAAATGACTTCCAGATGGCCATTTTGGATTTGGCAGGTAAAGATTATCATCGCTTTTTCTGCAAAGGAATGTTCAAGTGTCTAATCATTAAGAGCAAAAACAGAGAAGAGATGAGAAAAGAAGGGCAAAGATCCAACTTTCAAAGAACATATAAAGATCCATCAATGTTGGGTGCCAATATCCTTCTGGGATCTCTTGTGTGTTAGGAAAATGAAGGGTCTGCTCCAGCCAGTCACTGCTAAGTTAACACTTACTACAGGCTAGTTGAAATACAAACTGTTAGGAGAGGATTGAGGCATCAATGACGTTATGGCTCAATGAACAAACACAAAAGCTTATACAGGATTAGCCTGAATGGGACCTCGACTAAAATTTTCCATAAATGCATTACAATTATAAAACTTCGAATTTCATGGTTGTGATACAGGTACAAGTGTAGAAGTTGAGAGTACAGGATGCCAGACACAAGTGCATCACACTGATTATAATTTACTTCTGAATGCCCAGTGGTTTTGCAATTTGTAGATTTATGCTATGTCAAGCAAATAAGCATCATAAAATCACACATAACTGCTAATGGATCTGGGACATTGGAGCTTCAGTAGTCTTGATGGATTGTAAATCAACTGACAGAGTCTGTATAACTGTCATGTGTACATACACAATCAAGCATGAGCTTCAGATGACTTTCTGCTAGAACATGAGTTTGAGACATACACCAGGCAGCATGGGAGCAACGTCTGTTGGGTTAGTTGTTTCCCACCAACGGAGCCTGGATTGTCCTTGAAATTGTTTCCCACCAACGGAGTCTGGATTGTCCTTGAAATTGTTTCCCACCAACGGAGCCTGGATTGTTCTTGAAAATCCACATAGTTGAAGCTTTGTTGAGACTGATTAATGTAAATAATGTAAAATTAAGCATCTTTTTACAAGAAGTCCCTGGTTGTGCTGAATTTTTTTAACCAAATTAAGTCTTTGAAGTTAACCAATTTTGAATAAATTTTGAGTATAAGGACCCTGGGGCTTCATTAAATTTTATTTAGGAATGACAGTATTATGTCCAAACTTAATTAGTCTGAAGCATCATTGGGTGAAGGTGATTCAATTTTGAATAAAATTTGGTCTGATCCTCAGGGAGCTGAGAGGCAAGCCCTGTAAGGCAAATTTAGATGCAGTCTTTATTACCCGTCTTTAACAGTTGCAACAAATTTTGTTTTGAACACAGTCATCATCAGATGAAGTGGACTCATTGTAAATGTATTGTTTGGGGACGGCCCAATATTGAAAATAGAGATTAAAGTTTAGAATAATTCTTCTTCGCTTTGGATAAATGTGTTTCGACCAAATTTGGTTTGAAGCTTTAAATCAATCTTTTGCCAAAATTCTTATACAAATTTAACTACATGAAATTCTGTACAAATTTAACAAGAATGAAGAAATATTCAGATGAACCTTATAGACTCAATAGACCTCTTGTTTGGAGGTAATGTACAATTTTTGCTGTATATTCCTAATCTTATGATTATATAGATAATTTCTGGTTGAATTTTTGAACTGTTTTATGTAACAGTTCATGTAAAATTTGTAACAGATTGCAATATATTGTTGTATAAGTACACAGCTTATGTGTTGTACAAGATTAATTCAGCGTTTCAGTGAGAGAGATATGTGAACAATTGGAGCTATGCTTTCTGTCAGTAACTCTATGAAATTCTACAGATACTAATGAATTACATTTGTTACAGTCTGCAATATTGATCCAGACCAAAATCAACTTGACATGGAACAGTGTGAGTTTTGTCCCTTGGGCTACCTGACAGAACACAATGGTATATATATTTTCTTTATTTTGTTTTAGAATTTCTCATTTGTCATTATTAAATGACTGGTCATTTGGCCATCAGCCATACTAGTTGAATTTTTCAAATCTTTATCAATATTTCACTTGGTATTCTGCTGAACACAATTAATTCGTAGAAAGAGTACTCAGCATGGTTTGGGATCTACAAAGCTATTCATACTTTAGGATAGATTTAAGACTGATACTTCAACTAGATACTGAATCTGAGGTGGACTAGATATGGAATTTGTAACACTAGGTTCCTAGATAAATCTGAGGTGGACTAGATATGGAATTTATAACACTAGGTTCCTAGATAAATCTGAGGTGGACTAGATATGGAATTTGTAGGACTAGGTTCCTAGATAAATCTGAGGTGGACTGGATATGGAATTTGTAGGACTAGGTTCCTAGATAAATCTGAGGTGGACTGGATATGGAATTTGTAGGACTAGGTTCCTAGATAAATCTGAGGTGGACTAGATATGGAATGTGTAACACTAGGTTCCTAGATAAATCTGAGGTGGACTAGATATGGAATGTGTAACACTAGGTTCCTAGATAAATCTGAGGTGAACTAGATATGGAATTTGTAACACTAGGTTTCCAAATAAATCTGAGTATGAACTGGAAATGGAATGTGTAACACTAGGTTCCTAGATAAATCTGAGGTGGACTAGAATTGGAATGTGTAACACTAGGTTCCTAGATAAATCTGAGGTGGACTAGAAATGGAATGTGTAACACTAGGTTCCTAGATAAATCTGAGGTGGACTAGATATGGAATTTGTAACACTAGGTTCCTAGATAAATCTGAGGTGGACTAGATATGGAATTTGTAGGACTAGGTTCCTAGATAAATCTGAGGTGGACTGGATATGGAATTTGTAGGACTAGGTTCCTAGATAAATCTGAGGTGGACTGGATATGGAATTTGTAGGACTAGGTTCCTAGATAAATCTGAGGTGGACTAGAATTGGAATGTGTAACACTAGGTTCCTAGATAAATCTAAGGTGGACTAGAAATGGAATGTGTAACACTAGGTTCCTAGATAAATCTGAGGTGGACTAGAAATGGTATTTGTAGGACTAGGTTCCTAGATAAATCTGAGGTGGACTAGAAATGGAATGTGTAACACTAGGTTCCTAGATAAAATCTGAGGTGGACTAGAAATGAAATGTGTAACACTAGGTTCCTAGATAAATCTGAGGTGGACTAGAAATGGAATTTGTAACACTAGGTTCCATTATTGTATACTTTGTTGTTTATTTTGTTTTTATTTGTGAATGTTACTTACTTACCTAGACTGACCAAGATTTACTCTTTTGGAACACCTGGTCTCATCCATATCATCTTTCAGTAGTCTGCATGTAAATTTTTCATTATGGTATATTTTGCCCTTGTTTTACTGAATTTAAATTCGGATAATGATTATGTTCACATTTTTGTATTTCCTTTTTGCTTTTCGACTCAAATCTGATCATGACAGGTTCTTTAAGAAAGCAATAATCAAACCAATGGCCTATTCGTTTAGTCGGACAAACTGCAGCAATTCATGCATAAAGCAGGACAAAACTGCAAATATGATACAGGCGTTGAAAGGCTTAGTGGAAGAATACAAAATTAGATCAGTTTAAGGTTTGCCATTATTTCATAAACAAAAAATAGCAATCCAGCTAGTCAAACTGATAAACAAAAATATCATGGATTCAAACCTTTGACCTCTAAATTATTGGATAGAAACAGTTGTACTTTTTAGATCACTGGCAATTCTACCAATGTTTACTTCATATTTTAAAGTATATGTACAGGGCCTGAGATATCTCAGTACCATTATACAATATACTTGCTAAACATAATTTACAATTACTGGATGCTGACTCTGATGAATTTCTTTCTGATTTGATTTGTAAACCATTTACTGGTCTACAATGATATGTATTACAGAAGACATGGCCCTTATGATACTTAATCAGCCACAAGATATTGATGTGAATTTCATGAAACAGATGTGGACTAAAGGTAAGAAATTCTTACACTACTTGTCCTGTATTCATCGAACCATGACCAGATAAAAACTTTTGACACTTGATTCTGTTTACTACCAGTCAATGAACCCAATTTACTACTTCATGTATTTCTAGCCTCCTCTTTGCTGATACCTAACTTGTATAAAGTGCTGCCTCGGTCCTTAGCTTTATACTTCAATATATTCTTTGTGAAAGAAACTGGGTAGAAAGTACATCCATATATGATGGTCGGGTGGTGCAGTGGTAACACAAACACCTTTCACCTAAATGTCTAGATTCTCCAAAGACATGGGTGTCACCTGCTCAACCATGTGGGTTTTCTGTGAATACTCTGGCAGTTAGACCCCTCAATAGCTTCCATCCAGGCTGCAAGTCAAAAATATCAGCTGATTAATAGCTAGTTTTGCAATAGTAAAATAAATAAAACATATTTTATATGATGAAAGGAAGTCATTGTCAATCTCATTTATAACACAATCTTTTTCTAGAAATAAAATATCAATGTCTTGATATTTTACTGTTCATACTGAAGAATTTTTCAATTCTTTATCAAATACATTCTTACTGAATATAAGTGAGTCGCCGTCACAACTTAATACAAAGATCCTACTTACAGTAATGATGACAGACAGGTCTGTTTTACTTGTTTCATTATCAACAGCAAAACCATTTTTAGCTAAAGGACCAGTGGTCTTATGTCATGGTGCCAGCATCCGTCATCCTTTAGTCATCTGTCGTCTATTGTCAGTCATCTGTAGTCTGGCATCCATCAACTTTTACCAAAAATCCCTACTAGCCATGAACAACTGCACAGATTTTAACTTAATTTTGTATGAAGCATCCTTGGGGGAAGGGGAACACTCTTTTCTTTTTCTTTTTATAAATATTAGTTCTTTGTCCCAAGAGGCTTTAGGGGCAGGGCCCAAAAAGGAAACTTTTTGCAAGTTATTTAGTATCCTACTCCTCCTCAAGGAATGAATAGATATTGCCAAATTTTGGTCTGAAGCATTCTTGTTTGATGGGGAATTAATCTTGTATAAAAGGTATTGGTTCCCAATTTGGGTAACAGAGCAAATTCTTTAAATTCACACTCCCTCTAAAGAAATGATATGATTTTCCTAAATTTTCTTAGGTGAAGGGGAGTTTGTTTTTTGAAACCTTTGGTCTCAGCCCCTTGGGGCGGGAGGGGCCTTTACCAAATTGGGGAAATAGAACAATTTTTGAAAAAAATTTTTCTTCTGTAGAAGTGCTTGGATGTTCCATGTTGGTCTGAAACATGCCTGGCTGAAAGGAAATCAAGAGTATAAAAGTGGGTCTTAGCCCCTTGCAGTGAGAGGGACAAGGCCCAATGAGGGAAATTATGGCAGAGAAAATACTTTTTTTCTGTAGAAATATCAGGATTCTGTCTTTATTTGGATGAAGGGGAATCAATTTTATATAAATGATGGGTCTCGACCCTCTTAGGCAGGGCTAAATAGTGGAAATTGAGGAAATTCTCTAAAATTCTTCTCTTGTGGGAATGCCTTGATTCTGTACTGATTTGGTCTGAAGCATACCTAGTTGAAAGGAACTTTATTTAGTATAATTTAGGAGTCTGCCATCAGAGATGTGGGGCCCAGTAGGGGGGAATGTAAGTTCTTAAAAATCCTTCTTTCATACAAGGATATTGTCCCAAGTTTGGTCTAAAATAATTTATATGAATGGTGAATCTGATTTCTGTTTGTTCACAAGGCCAGGATCAGATAGGGAAATTATTTCAGAAATTATTTGTCATATTTGAAATTCTTTAGTAAATGATTAAATAGCTGAATGAGTCAGGTAAGGGATGCAGGCTCATTGGGCCTCTTGTTATAGAAATGGACTATTGAACTGTGACAAGATGATTTTTTAATATTGACACTGAATGACCAATGAAATTCTGGATTCCAGCAAAGGTCAAGGTCACAGTAGATGGGGGTACCAATGTACTACACGACAGTGTAATGGCAGACCGAGATATGTACATCCCTGACCTCATCAGTGGAGATTTTGACTCAATTAAACCAGAAGTTTCAGAGTTTTACAAAAGCAAGGTGAACTTTCTCATAATCAGTGATTTTTTTTAGAAAAATTATGGAATATTAATTGCTAGATATGTGTGTTTTCTTTCACTCTTTTTGTCTGCTTTAATCAATATAAGAATGTATATATATCAACTTTTACCGGATCAACTGATTAGTGAGAGAACAGGTTATAACTCCAGTCAACTTTGTTTTGTTATCTGTGTTCAATGTCCCCAACTTGTTCATTAACATTGTCCTTCCACAATGTTCTGTTAAAGAAATATACACAATAACTTCCCATAACAATCAAATATAACTTAAGAAACCAAAATCAGGTGATTGATCACTTCTGCTTTCATGATTGGAAACCATGGAAATTTGACTGGACTTCTGATTGGTTGAAAATTGATATTACATGATTAACAATTACAGGGGGTGGAGATTGTATCTACGCCAGACCAGGACTACATAGACTTTGCTAAAGCTCTCAAACTCCTCACAACAAAAACCAAGGTACAACTATTCAAATTTGATAGGAAAGACAGTAATTACAGATATACACAGTAATTACAGATATACACAGTAATTACAGATGTACACAGTAATTACAGATGTACACAGTAATTACAGATATACACAGTAATACAGATATACACAGTAATTACAGATATACACAGTAATACAGATATACACAGTAATTACAGATATACACAGTAATTACAGATGTACACAGTAATACAGATATACACAGTAATTACAGATATACACAGTAATACAGATATACACAGTAATTACAGATGTACACAGTAATTACAGATGTACACAGTAATACAGATATACACAGTAATTACAGATATACACAGTAATACAGATATACACAGTAATTACTGATGTACACAGTAATACAGATATACACAGTAATTACAGATATACACAGTAATACAGATATACACAGTAATTACAGATGTACACAGTAATTACAGATGTACACAGTAATTACAGATATACACAGTAATACAGATATACACAGTAATTACAGATGTACACAGTAATTACAGATGTACACAGTAATTACAGATATACACAGTAAATACAGATATACACAGTAATACAGATGTACACAGTAATTACAGATGTACACAGTAATTACAGATGTACACAGTAATACAGATATACACAGTAATTACAGATATACACAGTAATTACAGATGTACACAGTAATTACAGATATACACAGTAATACAGATATACACAGTAATTACAGATGTACACAGTAATTACAGATGTACACAGTAATACAGATATACACAGTAATTACAGATATACACAGTAATACAGATATACACAGTAATTACAGATGTACACAGTAATTACAGATGTACACAGTAATTACAGATATACACAGTAATACAGATATACACAGTAATTACAGATATACACAGTAATACAGATATACACAGTAATTACAGATGTACACAGTAATTACAGATGTACACAGTAATTACAGATATACACAGTAATTACAGATGTACACAGTAATTACAGATATACACAGTAATACAGATATACACAGTAATTACAGATATACACAGTAATTACAGATGTACACAGTAATTACAGATGTACACAGTAAATACAGATATACACAGTAATTACAGATATACACAGTAAAAGCACGTCACATAGCACATGATTCGTGTGTAACATCTGTTGTATTTGAAGGTTTGTATAACAATAGATTTAGAAAATCTGTCTGACTATGACTTCTTTCTATGTACCACTCCATGGTTACCTACAAGTATTAAGAAAATAACACCTAAGTTAATTCTGGTACAGCTGTTCATACAATTTTTGACTACTCTAAGCAAATGGCATTGATTAACCAACGATTTCTCTCCATTGACATACCATTAGAACACTATTGTTTAGCCTGTTTTTACTCTTAGAATCTTTGAAATTTGTTAAAAACTTTTGAAAAAAATTCTTTGAACAATGATTAGCTATTGATGACCATAGCATACAATGGTGAATCAATGTAATATTATGAGATGAGATAACATTAAAGCCCTCGTGAATATCATTAATATGACAGTTAATCATGAATCATTACTTTAGTGTTCTTCTCACATACAGTAGAATGACTCTCACATGGTTGTCAACGCACAAAATCCTGCGCCATGTTTGTACCCTATGCAAGCATTGGTTAAGTTCAATATCTATTGTCTTTTTGGTGTTAAGCAAACTAACATCATTTTTTTAATGTATTGAAAAATAAACATTTTGTTTTCTTTGATTACAATTGCTTTAATTCTTTAAATTGCAAAAAATAATTTACCAACATTTAAGTTCAAAACTCACAGAAATGAAACCCAGGAGTCATCCCGGGGGACAAGCACATTAAAACAAACAAACAGTATTGTTACAATTTGTCTGTTACATTCATTGTAATTACACAATAAATACACAATTTAGTTTCATAGGCTGAAAGTGTTTTTATACAAGACACGCATCATTTTTCAATGTGGATAGAAGTTAGCCACAGCATCAAAGATCAAATATCTACTTTAAAGGTCAACACATACCTGTATGTGACAACTTTATGCTATTTCAGTATCAGAATAATCACCAGAAGAACTGTTAGATATCTTGATGTGTTAATAAGAATTTTTTATTGTTACAAAAGCAATTATTTGAATAAAGAATTTTTGAATTATTTCTTTTCTCTCAGGTGGATCTCATTGTTGTATTAGGTGCGTTTGGTGGAAGACTTGATCAGGTGTTTGCTAACATTGACGTGCTACATCAGGCCCAGACTCTGACCTCAATACCTGTCGTGCTAGCTTCTGTTTGTCAGATGTGTGTCCTTTTGAAGCCGGTACATTAACAAATATCTTGAACTACAACATATGCATCCACCTTGATATAAATAGAGAAGGCATTTTTGACAACTACACATAAAAAACCATCAAAATGCCATATCACAAATTTGTGTGTAAATTTAACTACATATTCACCATGTTACTTATGAATTCATGTCACTTATAGACAAAATTTGCTGTAAAACGTTCAGAGAGAGTTTACTACTAGAGTGAAAATATGGCAGCAAGCTTGGTAATCGCATTCTGTGACATGAATCCTTTAGAAATGTCTATTGCCACTTTCAAGATGTTTGGTTGGGGATTGGGTAGGACCTCTGAGGCTTGGATGGTTTGCTGGCTTCCACGGAAATGAAAGTTTACCATGGAACTGAAGGTTATGCTACTTAGTAAATAACCCCTTCCTCTTCAGATGTCTGGTTTTGTGGTTTTTGTTCTTGGCTTTATGACTTGTAAAATTTTAACATAATCTTTATTCTCTCTTGTCATTTTTCACAAACACTTTTATCACTGTTATATTTCTCTATATGTCGCTGACAAAAATGTAATGAAAAGGATTGATTTATTTCTATTTTTTTTCAAAATATCATAAAAATTGTGGTATACAGACAAATCAGTTTATACAAATAAAAATAATTCTGAAATTTATAGGGAATTAAGCACTGCCTCAAGGTAGATACAGGATACGAGGGAGACTGGTGTGGTTTGATACCTGTAGGACAACCTTGTCTTCACATCACAACAACAGGACTCAAATGGAACCTTGGTAAGGCCTCAACAAATGAATATGTTGTCTCAACTTTTGCTTCTTATAGACAATATTGCAATGCTTGTGCTTGTAGTTAGACGGAACATTCTGTATATTGAAAAGTCATATCCATTTTATACAATGTAAACTCGTAGTAATGACTGTTGCAAGTCTCATTATATAGAAACACCTGTGACATATTCACTGGTGAGTCATGCATCATCTTCATTTTGGGCATCATCCTTCAGCATCAACTTTTTACTTTAAAGTAATTTCTTAGTAATCAAAATATCAGGGGTCATGGTATACTAGGGTGAAGGGGTTTCAGGGTGGTCTAAATGAATGACTTTCAAGGTCAGGGGTCAAATGTGTCAAAACCTGCAGAAATGAAAGGGGTCTCAAGTTTGTTCAAATGAGTGACTTTAACCCACTTTCACGTCTCTGGCATCACCAGGGATAATTTGATAGTGCCTTCAGTAAAAACCAAACATATTCCACAGTGTGACTTAATTTAAGTATCTGTCACGACTACAGGGCATGCATGACAGATATAAGAATATATTTAGGAGAGATTTAAAAGGATGAAGCTGACTGTGCTTTTGCAGACATTACTCGTTCATCATGATTCCGCAGCACGCTTCAAGTCTGTTTTATAAAAAAATCAATAAAGATTTATATACATAAAAATAAATTTCAGTATAATTTATTTTTACATTCACATAAAATATATTAACTTATTCATGCCTCCAGCTGGCAAAAAATGCTGTAAAACAGCATTCAGGAAGAGTTTAACACCAGAAAAGTTAATATGCTAGCTGAAAATATGACTTTCAAGGTGTTAGGTTGGAGATTGGATTTGAAATTTGATAAGGTCATTTGGGTTACTGACTTGTATTTGTTGCTGACTTCCATGGAAATGATAAAAGTTTATCATGGAATATTCCTGGTTTTGGGGGGTTTTTTTATCAGTCTTTATAATTTGTCAGTTTAATAAGATATTCTGTGTTCCCTCTTTTCTTGGTGTAAGTCACCAAAAGTGTTATTTTCCTCTGTCTACAACTACCTCTTGTCTGTCTATCACCTGTCTATAACTGTCACCTGTCTATAACTATCACCTGTGTCATCTGTCTATAACTGTCATCTGTCTATAACTATCACCTGTCTATATCTATTACCTGTTTATAACTACCTCCTGTCTGTACCTACCACCTGTCTGTAACTATCACCTGTCTATAACTATCACCTGTCTATAATTACCTCCTGTCTGTAACTATCACCTGTCTATAACTATCACCTGTCTATAACTACCTCCTGTCTATATCTACCTCCTGTCTGTAACTACCACCTGTCTATAACTACCTCCTGTCTATACCTACCACCTGTCTTTATCTATCACTTGTCTATAACTATCACCTGTCTATAACTACCTCCTATCTATAACTATCACCTGTCTGTAACTACCACCTGTCTATAACTACCTCCTGTATATAACTACTTCCTGTCTGTTACTATCACCTGTCTATAACTATCACCTGTCTATATCTATTACCTGTTTATAACTACCTCCTGTCTATACCTACCACCTGTCTTTATCTATCTCTTGTCTATATCTACCACCTATCTGTAACTTCCACTTGTCTATACCTACCATTTGTCTATAACTACCTCCTGTCTATACCTACCACCTGTCTTTATCTATCTCTTGTCTATATCTACCACCTATCTGTAACTTCCACTTGTCTATACCTACCACTTGTCTATACCTACCACCTGTCTATACCTACCACCTGTCTTTATCTATCACATGTCTATATCACCACCTGTCTATAACAGCTAGCTGTCTATATTTACTACCTGTCTATAACAGCTAGCTGTCTATATCTACCACATGTCTATAACAGCTAGCTGTCTATATCTACCACCTGTCTATAACAGCTAGCTGTCTATATCTACCACATGTCTATAACAGCTAGCTGTCTATATCTACCACCTGTCTATAACAGCTAGCTGTCTATATCTACCACATGTCTATAACAGCTAGCTGTCTATATCTACCACATGTCTATAACAGCTAGCTGTCTATATCTTCCACCTGTCTATAACAGCTAGCTGTCTATATCTACCACATGTCTATAACAGCTAGCTGTCTATATCTACCACCTGTCTATAACAGCTAGCTGTCTATATCTACCACATGTCTATAACAGCTAGCTGTCTATATCTACCACATGTCTATAACAGCTAGCTGTCTATATCTTCCACCTGTCTATAACAGCTAGCTGTCTATATCTACCACATGTCTATAACTAGCTGTCTATATCTACCACATGTCTATAACATCTAGCTGTCTATATCTTCCACCTGTCTATAACAGCTAGCTGTCTATATCTACCACCTGTCTATAACAGCTAGCTGTCTATATCTACCACATGTCTATAACATCTAGCTGTCTATAAATACATCAATCTGTTTATATTCTACCACTTATATTAGAACTTCTTGCTGTCTTTTACTTCAAGCTCTATTCATGTTTACACAGTGTTACCACTATATAGACTAACAAGTAAAAAATGGAATTCAAAGAACTATGAATGACACTGATCACATGTGCACTGTACATATTTACTGTTGCTTTAAGGATGACAACAATACACCTTACAAATATTTGTTCCATTTAAAGATCACACAAGTAAAGTTTTGGCTAGTTACATAACTATACATAGTAAGAAATCATAACAAAATGGTTGTTTGGTTAAAACGAGGTTCTGAAAGGTCAAATGATGAACTCTGCTATCTCCAATCAAAACGGAGATGGCTGGTAGACACAACAGGGAGCGTCAACTAGCGTTAGTTTGAAGCTGAAAATCTTTATCAATTTCTCTCAGAGAGTGGTATAATTTTATGAAGAGTGTAATTTTAAGTATTACAATGCTTGCCGGACTTCATACACAAGTGGAAAAATAATGAAATCAAATCATTTAGTCACTTTAAATTAATTTGAATCAAGTGAATGTATAAGTTAAAAAAAGTATTAAACTGCTATTGCTTTAAAGTCACCAAATAACACAAATCACAGTCAAACAAAACATATCGCACAAGAGCTCTATGTTCTGTTTCTCTGTAAATCTGTCATTTATATCAACAACGAATGTCATAAGTAGACAGTACAACTGTCTGTAGCAATCATCTGTCTAGGATTTAAACGTTTGTATAACTAATGCATGTCTAAGACAAACTACTTCGTTTGTTTTTTGTAGTACGTTTTAAATCATCTCTACCTCAGTTGTATGATAACTATATTCCTTATACGGTCAATCTTTTTACTCTTAATAATATTTCATGAGTTTGATATACCATTGATAAAATAGGTTACAGGTGTGTCAGTGTCATTAGTTTATTGACAGAAATACGTTTAGTGGTATTTAAGGAGTGAGTATGGTGATAATATGACAACAATTAAGAACGAAGTGAGTCATGTTATATAAAAAGTGGTTTCTTTTATTAGATCAGAAGCACGTACACATTTAGAAAAAGGTGTTGGATGAGACCACCTCTACATGTTCTGATGATTTGTCATCCATCCGGCAATGCATCTCTGTAACTACAAACAATTCTTTTCCATTTTACTACACTCTGTAGGACTTTTAAAGATCAGAAAAAGTATACTTTTAATAATTCTAGATGAATAGTGTAGTATTTTGTGTTTCCATAATGTAGATTGTAACAGTGATGCTTTGTATCCCACAGATAACCAAGGAATGGAATTCGGTAAACTGATCAGCACTTCCAACGCTCTGGAAGGAAATGGACAGGTCACCATAGAAACAGACAATAATTTATTGTGGTGTATGGAAGTCAAAATGGACAGGTCACCATAGAAACAGACAATGATTTATTGTGGTGTATGGAAGTCAAAATGGACAGGTCACCACTGGGACCGAAAGTTTCACTCTGTGGTTCCAAATCACAAATTTTAGCTTTGCCTGGACCAAAGAACTGGACAGGCAATGACATGGCATCCTGTGTCAGTCCATCAACTTTTCTTTGATCCGTCTGTCCGTAAACAATTTTTGTAATCAATATTTCTTGAGAAGTACTGGATGGATCTTTCTTAAATTTCATTTGTAGGTTTCCACCTGTCCCTAGTTGTGGTAATTGAAATTTGGGTGTGATCAGGAAAATAAAAATACTGCAAAGGTCTTTTTCAAATCTTGTGTATTTGTTCCTCTAGATCCCTAGTTGTGTCTGTTTGATTTTGGGACTGATCCAAAAAATAAACTGGCCAACAGGCAGCCATCTTGGATTTCACAAAGTAAAGTTTGTAATCCCTATTTCATAATTCATAAATTCATACCTGGGTCTCACTATGTCCCTAGTTGCACCCATTTGATTTTTGGTCTGATCAGGAAAAAAATGGCTGACAGACAGCCACCGTTGATTTGAAAGTTTGTTATCACTATTTTTAGACAATTAATGCATAGATCTTTCTCAAATTTCAAGTATAGGGGCCCCTTGGTCCCTGATTGCACCTGTTTGAGTTTGGAACTGATCAGAAATCAAAATGGCTGACAGGAAGCCATCTTTGATTTTGCCTAGTAAAGACTGTTATACCCATTTCTATTTGAGAGCGATCCTCCCTTACTTTTCAAGAAATAGCAATAACAAACTTGATTGAAGAAACCCAAGATGGCACTCTGTTTGCCATTTCATTTCTCTTATCAGTCCCAAAATCAAACAGGTACAACTAGCGACCACGGGTAAACTACATGTGCAATTTGAGAAAGATCCATCAAGCACTTCTCGAGAAATAGTGATAACAAACATTGTTTACAACAGAAGAGAGAAGGATGGATGGACGAACGGACCACAAATTCAGAGCGATTTGAATAGCCCACCATCTGATGATGGTGAACTGGAAAATGGAGTAACACCATTCTCACCTGCCTTTCAATCATATTCTCATAACAATGTCAACTCTATGTGCAGTCATATTCTGGCATAAAGAAGTCAAAAGTCTGCACATGTGTCTTTAAATGTATAAAATAGAAAATGTATGGAAGCAGCCCTTTCTGTACAAGTATGGCAGTTTGGTGATCCAAAAACCAATCATATCGTGTTAAATATTAAAGTTTTCATTACTTTGTGTAATGAACTTTTATTTACAACCAATGATTAACTACATGAGAACAAACATTATAAAGGTTTTATGAATAAACATATATTTAATTAAAAGGCCAGAATCAACAAGGTATATATTCAGTGTAATGGGTGTAACTTCACCAACTACAGTGTTGCAGGGCAGAACAACATGCTGTGTTAACAAAATATTCATCATTTATTGTATCAAAAACAAGACCAACATTTGGTCACAAAAGAGAAATTTGTAAGAGGGGAAAAGCAGTGTTATGTTTTAAAGATAAGTTTTTAGCATGCCAACTTTCGAAGAGACTAGCGAAGAACTAAAACAAGGAATCGTCAGACAGGATTAAAATGCTGAAGAAACAAAGGAGACTAACCATTCCTGAATGAGTGAAGTAAATAAAAGTTATACAATTAAGGAAGAAACCATTCCATGTAATAATTATAAAGCATACAAAGTGTCAGAGAAATTGGCGAAAACTGAGGAAAGAGATCTCCATACAAAAAATAAACTAAAAAAACTAAGGGCAATAACTCCTTTAAGTTTGAAAGAAATTGTTTGATAATCAAGAAAGGAGACTTCAGACAAGATTGTGTTAAGAGGACTTGAGAATGTGACAGCTATTGAGGTTTCAGAGACAAGTGCCACTCTTACAGGCAGTTCCTTGTTCTCACTCTCTCTGTTATTTTTAACTTTCACTTGTTGATTTCCTGGCATAATATTATCATTTTCTTTCATTGTCTAAGTTCTAGTTAGTGGTAATAGGAGGTTAACTAATGGTAGCATGTGGTCAATTCGTGTTTTTAAAGGATATCCATGTGACATTTACAACGATTGTCATCGTGACGATCTAATTATCACCCACAGAAAATCCAGCTTATTTCAAATTCAACCTGACCTCTCTGACTACATCTCATCATCACTATAATTAAGAAACGAAACACAAATTGTCTTAACCAAAACCTTTATTCATATCAATAAGTTCTCATTTAAGAACAAAGAATGGAATTTATCACACTGATGAAAACATCAGTTCTACGTAATCTAACAACTAGAAATTACTGATATAGAGACAAACAGGCAACACAATAACATAATATCACTACCAATGACAGATCTATAAAAATTTAACACTGACTATCACAGTTGTTCAGAAAATCAATATTCAAAATATTACACAGCAAAATTAAAAAATTCTATCAATACAGTTTGTTTTACCTTGTACTGAACAGAAACATTTCATCAATATAAACTCAGTGTGTACTTAAAGAAAACACCATAATTTATACACAGCAAAATAAAACAAATCTATTATACATATGCACTGAAAACATCCATATCCTATTCTGATCACGATAGTAAACTTACCTGATATAAAAATTCATTACCTGTAAAATGTAACATATTACCGTTTATTGTACATAAAAAAGGTTTCAATATTACAAAGACCCGTTCCTAATTTGAAACTGCTGGATGATAATAAATCCTTCCCCCAAAATTGATTGATTGAATCCAGCAACTGTTTTACAACTTTTTGTGATTGGTCACTCCAGAGAGCTAGAGCTTTTGTGTCTCAATAAGTTTCCTTTTCATAGTTACAGTAACCTTGACCTAATTTGAAATTTTGAGTTGAAAAGCAATCCAACAATCACAATCAAAATTACAGTTGCTAAAGCCTTGTGTGAAGTACAAGTCTAATCTGTCCACAGAAACCCGAGCTATAGACTGGAAATATAGTGATAAAGAATTTACCTTTGACCTTTCACACAAAAAGGCAATTTTAACAAGCCACGTCAGTAGGAGAGCATTGTGTGAAGTTTTAGTTTACTCACATAGAATGAACTTCAGTCATTAGGCAGAAATCAATATTTTATCTAAAATAAAAGTGACCCTTGGCATTCAACATGTTGATCCAAATGTCAATGCCAAGCAAGCACTCCTATATGAAGTTCGAGTTTCATTGGTCCCCTTGAAGTTTCATCATCCAGAAATTATGACACCGGCCAACTTTTATTTATAGTAACAGTGACCTTGAGGTTTGACCTTTTAACCCAAAAAGCAAGCATCAGTAATAAGGAAGCAGTGTGCAAAGTTTGCTTTTTATTGGTCCAGGGGAACTAGAGTCATCATCCAGATAGGATGTTACGGATGGAATGACAGACAAACAGTGGCATTACGTACCCTACCTTCTTCCAGTGTTTGATACAGGGATACAAAATATTGATACAAATATTGATACGTTGTTTCAAACATGACCTCCAATCTTCAGAAATCAGTATTCAATAACCTTGCAGTAATATTCTATTCTTCATTTTATTTTTTAACCAGAACTCCATTGCATTCTGTCCTCAATAATTTTTTTCATTCATACTCCATTACATACTACACTACCAATACATTACATTCTATGGCCAGTCAAACTCTATAACGAGTAACATTCCACCTTCCACTATATTCTATAACCAGTAATATTTTTTCCTCCGTTGTACACTATGCTCTGATTTACACTGGGCTTCAACTTGTTCGACTGAAGTGTGCATGTTAAAAACAGGTGCAAGGAAAGAACTATAAAGGAGATAAATACTTAAAACAAGTTGAATTTCTGTCTACAATCTGTTTACACGATAGAAAACAGGAAACTCCAAATGTCTTCGTTGGTTTGGATATTTGGGCATTTTCATTGATTTTACAGCAGAGAAAGCCACCCATAATATCCACTCCATCAAGGACACACATTGGGAAATTTTGGTATACTATGCCTCTCTTTTTCTTTTCGCATAAATTCTACCTAAAATCACAGGTTTAGAAAATAAAACATCAGCACAGAATCTACACCAGAAGATTGCAGAGGTCTGAAAAACACAACAAACTTGGTGAATCCACAGAAAATTCACAGCAAATAAACACAATTAGTAAAACTAAAGAAAAACAAAGACTTCACACCTTCAAAAATCATTTGTAGTGTCTGGACTGTTTACAATTGCCGGAGAGCTCTGGAAAGTTTGAGAACGTCTAGACCCACAGAAAATTCACAGCAAATAAACACAATTAGTAAAACTATAGAAAAACAAAGACTTCACACCTTCAAAATCATTTGTAGTGCCTGGACTGTTTACAATTGCCGGAGAGCTCTGGAAAGCTCGAGAATATCTAGACCCATAGAAAATTCACAGCAAATAAACACAATTAGTAAAACTAAAGAAAAACAAAGACTTCACACCTTCAAAAATCATTTGTAGTGCCTGGAGTGTTTACAATTGGTGGACAGCTCTGGAAAGTTTGAGAACGTCTAGACCCACAGAAAATTCACAGTAAATAAAAGTTAAGCAACAACAACAAATTAACACCTTCAAAAGTCGTGAACTGTTAGGTTTGTTTACAATTGTCGGAGAGCTCTGGAAAGCTTGAGAATATCTGGAAAGTTCATTTTAAGGTTACCATGGAGATAGTTGTAGAGAAAATCTGGTGAAGTCTCGAGCATCTTCTTAGACTCCCAAAGCATGTTACCGTCAAGCTGCAGCAGTCTGTTTATGTAAAAAAAAAGCTGTTTATTCTGGAAACTTATCCAGACAACTAAAATCTGAGAAATCTTCATCTTCTAATGTTTTATTCTTTAACATGTAAAAATGATTTGCTTAACATCAAGCGAGATATAACATAATGGTCACTTTCTATATTCCATAATTAACAACCAATACTTTTTGGACATTCAACAAGGAACAAGAGCCTTACACTGTAGCCCGTTTGAACGGGGCCTTAATTACATTTCTTTGTGAACCTAAACTGTTAATTCCCATGCAAAAAAATACCTACTCATGTGGAACTTCTGACAAGTTAAGGCGTGACATCCACTCTGCTACATCACCAATTGTCCAGTTTGCAGAAGAAGGTTTTGCTGACTGGACAGCGGTCAGTTTGGCTACATAACCAGGTGTCATAATCTCATCTGTAAAATAGGACATTTGACTGAACCACTTATCTTGAAAGTAACAGAATTCAGAATTTCAGATTTCAAATGATTTTCTTACATACAATAACTGCTTGTTTTTCACCAAATGAAGAGCCAGGGATTTGAGGTAGAGTCTCCTTAGGATAGCTAGTTGCTGTCTCAATAGACACCATCCAAGAGGTGTTCCACATACTATTGGAAGCCATTGGGTGAATGTGTCTTGTCGAGGAGACAACACAGGACAGGCAATGACCTCAGATTCCTTTTAAGCACTCTTGGTAGGTATTTAAACCCTTGGATCTTCACCTCAGGTTATATTCAACTGCTGCTGTACTGACTGAACTATTGCTGTCCTCTGTTTTAGAATATTTTCCCTTTGTATTGGTATTGTGGTATGTACCAATGTTTCTATGTAACGGAGGTCACTATTTCAATACTGCGGCAGGGATTCGAATCTGACTTACTAGTCTTCGGCTCAACCAAATGAGTAATCAAGAAGTCATCTGAAGTCAAGTTTGCAGCCAGTATTTACCAGAGTTACTTCCCCTCAGGAAAGGACTTGTCCTGCAGTTACCAGAGGTTAAAGTGATGCTTGTGAACGAAACACTAAGTATCATTATGTATTCCATTCATGGGTGCCAATGTAACAGGTCATTATTTGTTTCAATGCCTCTACTATAAGATTCAAACCCAGGACTTCTGGCTTACAAGTCTGATGCTCAACTGCTCCAATAAAAGAGAAGAAATGAGTAAGTTCCTAGTCATTTAATTTCTCTTCTTCTCGATTTCAGCTAAAAAATTAAAGAAGTTCGCCGCAGCTCAACAAAAGAAAATGTAAAATTGTCAGTATTTTAAATATTAGTTAACCCATGGGACTTGGGGTAGTGGGCTATAATGAAATTGGGATAGAGCATCAAGAATGAAGAGAGTTTGTAACAAGCTACACAACCTAAAATCCTGGCATTCCTACAGAAAGATGGATTTTTAACTTGCTCTATTTCCACTACCTCCTGCCCTAACAGGCTCTGAGTTTGTAACAAGCTACACAACCTAAAATCCTGGCATTCCTACAGAAAGATGGATTTTTAACTTGCTCTATTTCCACTACCTCCTGCCCTAACAGGCTCTGAGTTTGTAACAAGCTACACAACCTAAAATCCTGGCATTCCTACAGAAAGATGGATTTTTAACTTGCTCTATTTCCACTACCTCCTGCCCTAACAGGCTCTAAGATCCACTATTTATAATAAAAATAATCCCCCTCACCCAAGTGTGCCTAAAGACCCAATTGAGACAGCATTCTGATATTTCTAACAAAGATTTCAAAGAATTTGCTCTATCAGAATCCTTCTATTCATACAAAATTGATTTCCTTTCCACCCCATGACGCTTCAACAAAAATTTAGGCAAAATCTAATCATTGCTACAGAAGAAGCAGAATATTAGAGAATTTACTCTATTTCCTCTATAGGCCCGTCCCTCCCGCTCTAGAAGCTGAAACTGGTTGTTTATATTAGATTAAGTTCACTTCACTCAAGACTGCTTAAAACCAAATTTGGTCAAATTTCAATTATTCGTACAGAAGGAGAAGGATTTCAAAGAATATGCTCTATTTTCTGTATTTAACATGCCTCTCCCATCCCAAGGGACTGAGACCCACCATTGATACAAAATTGATTCCCCTTCACCAGATGATGCTTCAGGATAAATTTGAGTAAAATTCAATCATTCCTACAGGAGGAGTAGAATTTTAGAGAATCTGCTCTATTTCCAATATTGGGCTATACCTCTCCTGCCCCATTGATGCGAGACCCACTGTTTACACAAAATTGATTCCCCTTCACTCAAGGAGTATTCAAATTTTTGGGACAAATCCAATCATTTCTATGGGAGGAGATGGATTCTAGATAACGGTCCCAGTCCTTCAGATCCCAGGTGGCCGAAACCCACCATTTACACAAAATCTGTTCTTCTTCCCCAAAGGATGGTTCTCACCGTTCAAAATATGTTTTGTCGTTTATGACTATATATAGTAGCAATTTTAGGAAAAAAGTTGCAGACAACAGCTGAACAATATGGATCATGGAAACCACTGTATGGCAAGTTCATCAGTCCTTAAGATCAGGTGAGCTAAAACTATCAAGACTGTGAAAGTGAGATTATTGCATAACTACCATCAACTTCCTGTCTCTGAGATGACAGTCTTCCTCGGTCGCCGAGCTCCTTCATCAGATTTGGTATCTGTTGATCAAACAGTCGTTCTGTGCTGATGTCAAAGTACAGTTTGGTACCTATAAGCATGCCTAACCATCCATCTGCCTCATATTTTTCTTGTACACAAAGAGGAATGAAGCTCTTCCGTAGTTTATATGTATATTCTGCCTCTGAAAAGTCAATAATAAGACACTTATACCACAATAAAATTAAAAGTACCAATAATGCCTTAAAAAGTGACTGGCCTAAACAGGTATACCATCACTTTCAAGCCTTTCAGTTACTGTATACCACTGCTAGCAGGACAGTGACATTAGTTTACTGATAAAGTCATACAAGGCTGCTGCTGATGAACCCTTTCAATACCATCCTAACAAGTGGTGATCCACTAATATTAATTCTCTTTTTAATCATTTCATGATAAATTATATCTTTATATTCTCTGTTGATCTTCCATCCTTCAGACTGACCTGATCTGCAGCTTGGACTATCCTTGTATTTTTGCGACATACATATCAGAACGACAGCCGACCTTTCAACAGCTAGTGCCATTGCTTCCAGTGTTGACCCAGCTACAACATTAGAGCAGAGAGAGGTTTGTAAAGAGTTTCATTCTCTTATAAATTCTTCATGCCTTCTGGAAGACTTGATACGAAGAAATATTGCAAAATTTCTAAAAAAATAAATGGGCTGAAGAAGGCTGATTCTGCATTGAACATTTCAAGAGTTACAGAATCAACTCGATGGGGGTGGGGGGGGGGGTAGTTCTTTATTATAGATCTTCCTAGTCCTGGGTTTGATATCTTTGAGAAAAAATAGGGGAAATTGATATCTTTGAGAAAAAATAGGGGAAATTTTGCATGTAACTCTTGTAATTGCCAAGACAGGCATTGGGAATGGCTTTTTCTAATCAAGTAGACAAAATGCAAGTTTGTTCTGATCTTATCCCATGTAACAGTACACACCATGCCACCAGGATCATGGTGTATATTAAACAGATTACATTGGGTACATGTCCCTGAAAATAGTGAAGGAAATGATGCATGCATGAATTGGTATCATCATTGTGGATTAAGGTGTTCAGAGATATTCAGTGATTTTTATCAAGTTAGTAGAAACAATCAGTCATTAACATGTGTATATGTATATACAAATCTCCCATGAAACCAGAGTGTATAGATGTTACAGATGTCACATTGACCTTGGATGTTTGACTGGACATTATCTGATTTTGAGGGATTAATATCAGGAATACCTGAGAAATTTATTTATCATTGCCATGGTAAAGTAAAGCATTTTCTTACAAATTAACTTCATTTTCACCATTTTTTCTCCATCCCATGGTGATTAGGAAAAATTTGGTAAAGAAAAGTTATTTAGTAAGAAAATAGTGACATGATATACTTTACCATGGCCATGGTGAAATGAACTCCCCTGCCCCACCCTAAATTACCATGGCCATGCTGAATTGAACTCCCCTGCCCCACCCTAAATTACCATGGCCATAGTGAAATGAACTCCCCTGTCCCACCCTTCTTATTTTCCAGTTTTACTAAGTTTGGAGGAACTTAATTAATCAAAATGATAAAGAAATTAAATGAAGAAACATTGATTAAAAACAAAATATAAAGTGGCTTCACTTTACTATGGGGGAGGGGTTCATTTCACCATTATGATGAAGTAAACCACGGTTCACATCACCATCATGCTACACTGGGTTTTCTTGGTTCAGTCTCACTTCCAATCCTAAGAATACTGCTTTCCTAATATAGAAAATTACTTGACAATTTGTTGAAGGATTATGGAAGAATGATGAAGGATGACGTCCACAAGTGTAGTGTTTTTATTTATAAGTGTATGTGTGATATTCACAGAGGGTGTTCTCTGGTACATACCTGGATACTGACTCAGCATCAAGAGGCACAAAGGGTTAATATACCATTTCTAACAAGGTTGAATGATCCATAAAAGTATAAATGATCAAGGTAGCCAGACTGAACATGTCTAACTTGTGAAACATATAAAATCTAATGATATAAGATTGATACAATCTATACCTAGTTACTTGACATATTACTTAAGGTGACATGTATTTCTGCCATGTAAACATGTAATCTGTCTACAGCCTTTTGGCATAATGATAATGGTTTTGGATATAACTCATATTCATATTTTGCTATAAATAAAATAAGAAATTTTAATAATATGAATAATTTTTTAGAAAGGATGTCATGGTTCACTCGTCCCTTTGTCAGAAATTATTTCAAATTAGATATAATTTTGACATCATGCGTGAAATCATATTTAGAGTAAATACACATAATAAAGTTAGAAAATACAAAAAAATATTGAAGAAAAATGGTTCACGACGTCCCCACAATCATCTACTGTAAATAAGAAAACAAGTTTACAAAAACTTGTGCACTACAGAACACACTTTCAAGTGCATTAATGAAGACCTACTCATGTGTTCAACATCCATCCACACTTTGTAGCCAGCATGTTTCAACACATCTTTGAGACGTAGCGCTAGTGTCTGCTGTCCCACTGATAACTAATCATTACATGAGGACACTGCACAACCAAGCAAGCTGCAAGTAAAAACTGACACTATATTATGATGTTTTAATTATCACATGATCAAATGTGTTATACTGACAAACATTCTGGTCACTGTCACCAGCAATTTTTCCAGTTTCATCAACCAAACCACACAACAAAAGGCAATAGTAGACAGCCTCCAGTGAAAATAAGGTAGAACATCATGTCTCTTTGTCTCATCAATTTCTTACTTATAACTTAACTGCCATACGTTTAGGGCACAGGTATCATTAAAATTGAGGTTTTTTTAATGTAAAACCAATTTTCATGATGTAATACTTACCATAACTTTAGTATGCAAATACAGTACCTACACCCATCTTTGTATCCCAACAACAAAAGATTCAAAAGAAAAACAATCCCGCCCTCCCTACGATCCATGAGCCATCACGGCAGGAACGCAGAGTGATCTCCCTTCCTCTAATAACCTTTATGGCGTAAACCCCACAGAGGGGCAGCCAGGCAGATAAGGAAGAGGGGAGGATAGGGTGGGACTCCATAAAGTTATGGTAAGTATTACATCATGAAAATTGGTTTTACATTAAAAAACCTCAATTTCATTTCAGTAATAATTACCATAACTTTAGTATGCGAATTCGTCTTACCGTAGTGGTGACTAGAAGCCAGGCAGCCCCTTCAGCACAACCAAAGTAGTAGGGAGGGAGAACAGAGTGCTAAAGTGAAGGAAGGGACCTCTCTGTGAAAGAGCAGGTGTACCCACATGCCGCCGTACGGAAAGACATGGCCCGGGGCTAACGAGGAGGCCCAGCCACTGACTATGCCACCACCAAAGGTCCCAATGAATACAGGCCTTCTGAGTGGGAAGCTAGGGATCACAGATAAAAATCTGTTAAGGTATCCCTGCCCTGCCAGAATACTGCAGACATGACCTCCTGAAAGGAGGACTCATTGAGAGAAGGGCCCACGATGAAGCAAGGGCCCTGACCTCGTGAGACCGCGCTTTCACTCTCGCCCGAGCCAGATCATCAAAATGCTCGTAAGCATACTAAATCACCTGGCAAACCCACCTGGAAACCGACTGGGAGGAGATATCTCGTTGCCCCTGTTTAATGGGCAAAACAGACGGGATCGAGAGCCCCGCCCCCCCCTGGTTTTATCAAGATAAAACCTAAGAGCCCGACAAGGACAAAGCAACCTATCTCGCTCCTCCGAGCTAGTCACAGCCAGGATCCTGATGGGATCGTGCGAGAACCCCGGAACCTGATTCTTCGCTAAAAACAACTCTATTCATAGCAAAGCCTCTGATTAGGGCAGAAAGAGAGGAGGACTAACCGATCTCCTTCCTGCCATAACAAGCAAGAACTCTGGCAATAGCTGTACGATAGCCAGCAATAGTGCCAGGTGGCAGATAGCGGTACCTAAACAGAGAGATTAGGAATTCCGCAATCAAATGCAGAGGCTTCGAATGAATAAGCTTCCTTGCCGACACACCAATCACAGAAGATCATCCAACGTGACTGGTAGACGGCAGAAGAGGAAGCCCTGATTGATTGCTCAATGCAATCTGACACCTCTTGAGAAAAGCCTGCCTTGGCGTGGCTTCCAGAGATAGCCTCAGCGCGTGAAGGTGGAGGATCTCTGGTCAAGAGTGTGTCGTTCTGGGCCAAGGCTGGCGAAGGAGATTCGGTCTGGTGGGGAGAGCCAAGGGCTCCTCCACCAGAAACGACAAGAGCTCCTGAAACCAAGCTTGCCTCGGCCACAGAGGGGCTCTCAGAAGTAAGGAGCAGTGATGCTCCCAGAACTTCTGTAGAACCCTGCCCACCAGGTTGAAGGGAGGGAATGCATATGCATACGTCCCTTCCTATTCCAGAGAAAGGGCGTCCACAGCCCACGCCTTACGGTCTGGGACCGGGGAGACGAAGGTTAGCAGCTGGTTGTTCAGGGAAGTGGCAAACAGGTCTATAATAGGTCTGTCCCACGCCTGACAATTCCCCTTGAAAATCAAGGGACACAGCTGCCATTCCGTCAACACCGGCTGGTGGCGCCTGGAGAGTGGCCACCAACACACTCAGCCTGCCAGAAAGATGCTTGACCGCTATGGTCAACTGCATGTCCTGGCAGAGAAGATGGATGTGGATGGAAAGGGCACACAGGACATGAGACCTGGTGGCCCCTGTCTCTCCAGATACGCGACAACTGTTGTCGGTAGCCACACTTTGGACTGCAGGATACCCCTAAAGGACTGCAGAGCCAAATGAACAGTCTCATCTCGAGTACACTGATGTGCTCTGAGAGTTATTCGCCAGACCACTCCCCCATCGAGGTAAGCTCACATTCCTGTCATGAACGCGTCCATGAACAGGATCATAGAGGGGATAGGCTTGGTCAGAGGTACCCCGTGGAAAACGTTCTCCTGAATGGTCCACCAGCAAGAGAACTCCCTGACCGACTGGGTAAGCGGGATCCAGGCCTCCTGGATGACGGAACCCAGTCAGACAGGAGGAACATCTGGAGAGGTCCGATGTGAATCCTCCCTAGGGGGACCACATATGCCAAGGAGTTGAGATACCCCAGAAAACTGAGGAACCAATGTACCTGGACAAGCGACCAAGTGATGAAAGTCAGAGCCAGAGCCCTGACCTTCTCAAACTTCTCCAGAGGTGGAAGGGCTAAGCCCCGAACCATGTCAAAATGGTTCCCCAGGAAGAAGAAGTCCTAATATGAAGGAACCTCTGACTTCTCTCTGGAAGGAATGAAGCCGACTCTGAGCAAGAGTTTCAGGACCAGACGAGTGTCCTTCACTAACGATTCCCACACCAAAAGAGGCATGAGGGAGTCGTCGAAATAGATGTGGACGTCTATTCTGCAGGAGTGAAGGAAACACCAGCAGCAACTTGGTGAACACCAAAGGAGCTGTCGTGAGCCCCAAGGGCATCTCTGCCTTGGCAGCATGGTCCCTACTTCCTCCTGGAGCACCCGTGCCCTTTCTGAATCCCCGGGAGGAGGAAAGAAACAAAAACGGCCAGGAGGCGAGGGACGAATCCTGAAGAAGGGGAATACCTAGACCCTCCCTGACCACCGACAAAAGCCCAAGCGTCCTCTGTAATATCCTGCCACTAGGAAAGGAAAGCAGAGAGACGTCCGCCCACAGGGAGTTCCGGATGGGGCAGATCGAGCCCCTGCCAGACCAGAGAATCGTCTGCCCACCCGGAGCCTGAGCCTGCAGGAGAAGGACATGAGCCCGGGAAAGGAGAACCACCGTCCACCCGGCCATACCCTTCGCCTTTAGCGGCCAAGAAGCAGAAATAGTCAGGAACCCTTCTTCTTGCCCCCAGGAGGTTTCTTACCCTTCCTACCCTTCCCCTTGTTGCCGTTGAAGTGAGGTTGGGACTTGGGCTGTGCAGAAAACTGAGCAGCCGAAGACTTCGCCTTCTTCTTAGGAGGCACTGACCCCTGCGAGGCACTGGCCTTCTCAGCCTGAAACCTCTTCACCAGAAGTGCTGAGGCGACCGAGTCCTCCTTCATATCCTTCTGAACCCAAGGAAGAGCTCCCCTGAACAGGGTAGAGCCCTAGAAGGGGGCATTCAACAAGCGGAAACGGTAGGGTTACTGGACTGGGCGGAATTTCAGAACTGAAAACTGCCTAGCCAACACGGCATTGACGAGCAGAGAACCTGCAAGGCTGCCGTGTCCTGTATGTCGGCCGTTCTGTCTCGGATAACCGACACTCAGGCAAATCGGATACCCTGTATAGACAAACTGTCAGGAAGTCTATGTATGACAGAACTTGGATGGAGAGGTGCAACATTCTCTCCATCCTGTGGTGCTCTTTGGGATCGAGCACCACCTGGTCCACTGATTTGCCGGGCCAGGCAGCCAGCTGTCTCAACTCCAGCTGTGCTGGTTGAGAGGCCAGCTGCCCATCATGTGTGGCATAGTCGGAAGCTGAAGCCTCCGACAATTCACCAACACCGAGCTGCAGACCGACAAACCCGAGAGCACGGGTAGAGAAGGAGTCCTTCTCTAAAACCGGAGCCCGGGCCGTGGCCAGAACCGAAGACATGATATTGCCTTCTGGCAGAGACCGATCTGAGCGAACGGAAGCCCGAGGAGCCACCAGGGAACCCAGAAGGATGGTGGATTCAGGCGCCGACGATGCTGAGGCGGTGGGCAAACCTCCGCCCTGAGAATCCGGGAGATGTTGGCCCGGAGGACCCGCATCCCAGAAAGCACATGCTGAGCCTCAGCTTCAGCAGTCTCAGGGCCATCTTCCCCTTGTGAACCCTCTTGGCCCAGGAGAAAGATGAATGACATCGTCTTCCTCTGCCGAGCCCGCACCCTCGATGTCCATCTCCTCCTCAATAGAGACCGAAGTCCCCTTGGGAGGAACAGGGGCCGCCAGAGGAGCCATCTCCGCAGAGGGGAACTCCTCTTTATGGCATTTGGACGCAGCGCGACCAACAGCTGTAGCTGTAGGCTTGGGTCGGAGACCCGAAGCCGACCCCTGGGAACAGGAGACCGACGGGTCCGCGCTGGAGGCGGAAGTCCTTAAGGTCTGGCAAACCTTTATAGGACCGGCCAACAAGGCCCCCGAAGTAGCAGAACATTGGGGGGATTCCGCACTGCTATAACATCTCCTAGAGGAGAGACCAACCCCTATGGGTTCCACGAGTGAAGACCCATGGGGTAAAAACCCAAACCCCTGAGGGAATGGGAACGGTCCAGCGGGCCGGGAGTGACCCCAGAACTGGCCAAGATGGCCTGCCTGAGTCTGGGGCTGGACATCCTGTCCAAAGGACCAGGATGAACCGCCACTCCCACCAGGTGGAAACCCAGACATGTACAGGCTAAGCCCGTAACTGCTGAGTAACTGTTGGTACCCAAAACCATCCGCAGGTTGGCCTGGGCGACCCAGGAATAAGTGCCCGCAGGCACCCCTACTCCCTGAGCCCGGGGGAAAGGGAGACCGGA